TTCCAACCCCTAGACACGTCAGACACCCTACGTCCATGCCCCACGTCGCGTTGCCGTGCCAGGACCTGGCGCTGCGGGCACCCAGGCCGGCGCTGCACCTGCTGCGGCAGGCAGACCTGGACCAGGCGGCTCACGTGGGCTGTCAAACCGTGGGATCCCATGGATTGGATTGGGATTCACCACCCACTTTAGAACCTAGGGGAGATGTTCACCGGTACGATTTGGATTTTGACCCATGGCCATTTAGAGTTGAACCCCAGTCTTTGGTGTATTCTGCAACCAGAGGCTCGTGAGCTGTGGGAATTGAGACGCAACAACTGAACTGGTGGAGCTCCTGTCTTGGGAGAGATGGATGTTCGGGTGAGTGAATCGTATGAGTTTGCTCGCGGCAAAGCAAAATCTGCACGCGGCGCTCACGAATCAGCGCTCGACCCCAAAAAAACACTCAAGTTGAAAGGAACTTGGTATGGCTGGTGCATTTGTGGCTCGCTTGAACGTTACCGTTTGTGGAGACCTTTTCAGAGCACGGTGCAACGTGCGCAGTGAGTGCGGGTGCCCCCTCACCCGAGGCCTTCTACGACCTGGGCGACCGCATGTTCACGGACGCCCGGGTCCCCGGGGTGAAGCCAAGCGGAAGCTCCGGTGACTCTGGCGCTTCCTGTGTTTTTGGCGGGGACATACCCCTGTCGGCGAAGCCGCGCCACGCTTGCCACGACAAGCCTCCAACTTTGCGTGCATGGCTTTGCACAGTGTTCGTGATACATCCACAACAAAAGAGACACAATGATACGGATTGCAACATGTCGAGCTGGAGACTTGCAGTTTCACTGGTATGTGCTTACAGGGAGCCAAGCGAGGCTATCTTTGTGCGTAATGAGCGCATCGCTCGTGAGCTGGGCGACGACTGGGCCAAGGATGGGCGGCCCTTTCCGATGGGAAGCATGCAGCTGGCTGGTTTGGTGTCCTGAAATTAGGGATTTAAAAGGACCCTCTTTGTGGCGGTGGTTGTCGAGAAGCCAAAAGGTCACCCTCCCATATTCGAGGAGCGGCACTTGTGGTACTGTATGCGCGGCCAGGAGATGCTGCTGCGCTGCGAGACTCCTGAGGCGTTTGGGTGGCAGGGGGGTTTCCTAAGACTTTGGATTCCCAGTCGGTGGAGATTGCAGGGAAAGAAGGAACGCCAACAAAAAGTGTCTGAGGGCACCCCAGTTTGGGCATCATCCACACCACGGCGCTAGAGACGGAGTTTCGCGCTGCTTGTTGCATTTCGGCTGCGCGGGGCACGGGACCCGAGGCACTTTGGTGCCCTCACTGCAGCACATCCCCTTGATACGGCTTAATGGATGAAAAATTCTTGTGCGCTTCAATACGTTCCCTTGTTTCGTAGAGTCCGATATATGGGCGTGTCTTTTTTGTTGGGAAACCTGATTTTGGTTGGTATTTACCAGAAGGACACTGACGAGTTAGGGGCACACCTATCGCATGCCAAACGACAGGTACAGGCCGGCGACGCCAGCTCCGCCAGCTCCGTCGATGGGTGTCCCCCGCGGGTGAACCTGCAGGGCTTTGAGGCGCGGGGGTTGGGTGAACATGTCGAGGGTGGCAAGCAGTCTGTGACAGGTCAGAAGTAGTTGGACCCCTCAAGCGGTGGGTTTCATATTAGGTTTCAGCGTGAACTGAACCAACAGGATTGGCCAGTTGGCATGTACTCCAATCGGATGATGGTGCTGCCCTGCTGTCATTTTGGATGGATGAGGAGCACACTTGCTTCGTTGCAGGTCTTTTGGTGCGATGTGGACCACGTGACCGCCGGGCTTTTGGAGGCACGAGCAGTGAGCTTTTTAGCTGCCGGCCGTGGGGAGTGTATTGCCCAGGATATTCGATTCAACTGCCGCTTGAAGAAAGAGCATCCGGCAACTCTGTGGGTGCTTGGTAGCCAATGATTTGTTTTCATGTTTAGGTTCTGGTAGGAATGTGTCAAACCTGGCAGCCGATGACGGACTTTGATGTTGGCTGCATTGCTAGGCAGAGGGCTTGACAGTGCGCTGTTTCCAGACGCCCGAGCAGTTGCTGGAGGTGGGGCTGGTTGAGAGTTGAGTGCAAGGCCTTTCTACGATGGGATGCGACAAAATATGCAGGAGCCATTTTCGTGGTTGCTGTGTAGTGGATTTGTAGCTTCTCCCTTGTGGTGAACAGACCCTTGCGGGGCAAGTGGAAGTGGGACAAGACGCTGAGGCATTCCAGCAATGGCCGAGCACGGTGCTGGGCATTCTCACCTCGATGATGGCGTGGGGCCAAAGGCAAAGGGGTGCAGGGCTGGCCACAGCCCGAGTTCCCCCAACAATCATTGGATGCAGAAGTGGGGTTGGGCCGTTTGGGCCATCCTGAAGTGTGCTGAACGAGGCCTTTGCCCTGGGATACTTGAGCAGCAGGTTGTTAGCATCTTTCCATGGGTGCCCCAAGAAAAGTTCAAAAAACCCGTCCCAGGGGTGGGGCCTTGGGTTTCTTCCTTAAGCCTCTTTGGAGCTGTGCGCCTTTCAACTTTTCGCCGGCAGAGAGCAACGAGATGAGCTTTTCCCTTGGAGCGACGTGCGGCCGGCTCAGGAGCGCGGCGGCCGCAGGGAGCGTGGTGAGATGCGGGGCGCCCACATCGGTCGATCGGGATGGGATGGGGGTTGGGGTTCACGGTTCGGGAAGCCATCAGCAATGGAGCCGAGTAGTGAAGGTTGTGCCACTCTTCGCATTTCACACGAGGCCTTGATTTGCAAAGACGCACAGATTTGGTGTGGTTGGCCATGTGTGGGGATGGAAGCAGCGCCAACATGATACTACTCGTCTAAGGGGGCCCAACAGGTTCCAATTCGATTTGACAGCCAAACGGCCATTGATTTTGATTGGACCTCAAAAAGGGCTGGTGGACACAACTCCAATGCAAATGATGTGCAGCAAAGGGTCCTATGTCTTAAATATTAGGAGATTGCAAACGAAACCAACGGCAAACAAACCAGATGCCCCCAAGCATTGGCTGTGGCCCCAGGAACGCCTTTGACCTCTTCTCCGCGGTGTCCAAGGTCACGCAGGCAATGCCCAGTGTTTTGCTTGGATCGATTGAAAAGAACCAAGAAACAGGGCCCGTGGCCGAATTGCTCTTTGATTTTTCTGCGGAGTTCGCTATCGCCACACCCGGGTCAGAGCCGTTGCCGGCTCTCAGGGGGGGGCGTACCCGGGCCCCGTGCCTGGTTCATGTCGGATGTCTACGACCCCAAGAAGTGCGGCCGCTGCTACGGCAATGGCGAGGTCCTGTACACCTGGCTGGACATGAACTTCCGCCTCGCCTGCGACCACTGCGGCGGGGCGGGCTGGACTCAGGCGGGCACAGTGCTTTGGGTCCAGAGTCTGAAGGGCTTCGTTTTCCGCTGGTGCAAGCAACTCGTGTTGAGTTGTTGGACCAATGTGGTCTTTGTTTCTTCTTTTTTGTTATAAATAAAACATATAAAGAACAGAATCCGAGTCTTCAAGGTCTGCGGCCGGTGCCGCGGCCAGGGCACCTGTGCGTTCCAGATGCCCAAGGGCTGGAACTTGAACGCCGACTTCGTGGCCGCGCTGAGCGGGTGGCAGATCAAGTGCACGGTGTGCCTGGGCCGGGGCAAGGTGGCAGCCGTCAGGGACCAGGAGCCCACCCAGCGCAAGCGCTTGGAGGCACCGAAGGGGGGAGGCTGGCTTTGACTGGATTGCCTTGGATTCCCCTCAAGTCCAGAGAGGAACTGTGGGAGAGCCGAGCGGGGTTGGCGCCCGAGGACATGACCAAGCTAGAGATGCAGGACGAGCTGCGGAAGATGAAGCGGAAGGCCCACAGCGGGGAAGCTGGGTTTGTTTGCAGCTCGAAGATGCTCCATTGAAGTCTGGGACAGCCCAAGATTCCTGGAGGCCTCACCTCTCGCTACCGGTCCGGTGGCATTTGAAATTTTGATTCGTCCCTTCGAGGTGAGCAGCAACAAGGCGGAGCTCCAGCGCCGGCTGGAGGACGTCTTCGAGACCAACGACCGGGGCTGGGCGCCCCGAGGGGTGCCGGCCATCTCCGAGGGGCAGTACCTCGCCAGCGGCAGCTTCCGCGACGTCTTCCTGGTGACCTACACCAAGGGCCCACGCAAGGCGCATGGGATCTGGGATGGATGGGAGAAGTGCAAAGGGGACGTGCTTTTCGAATCGCTGGGAGAACTGGTCTGGCGTTTGGACTGGACCTTGTCATGGTTTGGGCATTGACCCAAATGTGGGCCAAAGCCTCATTTGCCCACAAGCACGACCCTGCTTGCAAGGGCATGAAGGGTGTCTACAAGGTGTTCAAGGACCCCAAGATGGAGAACTTGATCGCCGAGGAGCTGCAAGCGGTGGAAGTGGCTGGGGCTATCATCAAGGCGTTCAATGCCTTCAACGACTTGCAGGGAGGCGAGTGGCATGTCCCTTATCTTGCTTTGTCTCTCATTGAGTTCACCGATGGGTTAGAACCGAGTTGTTGCCCATTTTGAAAGGGTGAGCAAAAAGGCCTTCTGCATGGCCGCTGTCCATTGGACTTCAAACGGCTTTTGCCAGGAGACGCTAGGCGTCGAGTCTACCTGAACAAGCCGGAGCTGTGGAGCGCTGACGGCAGGCCGGTGCTGGTCGAGCCGTTGATAGAGGGCACCTACGCCAAGTTTAACTCCAACAGCGGATGGGTGAATGAGGGCTACAACATGATGCAGGCTTTGTCCCACTTTTCCTACCATGTCACAGAGGGCCGGTACTTACTCTGCGATCTGCAGGGTGGGGGTGGCTGGGCAAAATCTCTCGGCGTTCCCGCGGCTCATTATGTCCAGGTGAATTTCCTTTTATTGGCCTTTCGCTTCGGAGCCCATTATTGGCAGACAGCCCTGGCCCCAACCCCCAAACCCCAAACCTACCACTAGCAACTTGGAGAGCCCTCAAATTCTACCTTTCGGTTTCTTGGGGGGGTCATTGGGAAAACAATGTAAACCCGGCCAACCGCTTTGGTAAAACCACACACAAGACTAGCTTGAGTCTCGCTTGCTTTAGCCAGTGATGGGGGCAGGTAACGAACAAGGATCGCCCCAAGAGCATCTCGCCCATGCCGGCTCTGACTTCAGACTTTAGGCCAATGAAGAGGTCAGGATCGACTGGATCAGATCTCAGCTTTTCCTTTTCGGGCACCTCCGAATCGCGCCCCCCTCCCCCTTTTTTCGTAGGCTCGACTTTTTCCTGGACCGCCCGCAGGGCTCCCGGCTTCTGCATTCGCTGTTCTCTCCGCACTTCCCCTCCGATCTGCGCGCTGCTTCCCCAACTCTTCGCTCCGCTCTTCTTTTGGCTCTTTTCCAAACCAGTTCCGCTGCTCCTTGATTCTCTGCTCTTCATTGCCCACTCTTTGCTGCGCTCTGCTTTTTGCAATCTTCGCTCCACTCTTCCTCCCATCTCTTCACTCTGTTCTTCTTGCCTCTCTTCTTCTCACTCTTCTCTCCGCTTCGCTCTGCTCTATTCTCCATTCAGTTTCCTGCTCTTCAAGCTTATGCCCTCTGCTTGCACTCTGCCGCGTGTTTTGTGCCTTGTGCCTTGCAGTCGCTTTTTGACCGGAGGACGCAGGGCTGTTCGAGCGCTTTGGCTGTTATTAAAGTGAGCCGGTGTAGCCTTGCGCGGACGTTTGCTTTTGTGCCTCCCCTGGCCTCAAGTTTTCTGTAGTTTGCTGCTCAAATTCAAATGCCAAGGCTATGACACACACTATGTGCTCACAGACCCCGCGGTCCTCAGCCGAGCCAAAGAGTTCGGTTCTACGGATGGGGGCCTGGCCATGATGGAAAACTTCTTCGCGCACCACGCGTGCAACGAGTACTGCGCTCCCCAGCCGCGTTGTTTTTTTGCAAGCTGATGGTATTGAGGGCTCCGACTCGAAGCGTCCTCGTTGACAGAATCTCCACGCAGATCGTTGAAAGTACCGTTTCAAGTTGTTTCAACGGGCGACTCCCCTGCGGCTACACAAGTTTTACGTGGTTAAACTGCGCAAAGGCCTAGGTCCGCCTCTCGTTCCCGTATATCCTTGATGCATCGTGTGCAACAGCCTTGATCCAAGGAAAGGCATGAGGGCAAACACAACCAACTTATCATTGCAGAAGGCACCGAGGCTCATTTTCTGAAAGCTGTTTGCTGGTTTGCGGTGCGTCAGCATAGCAAAAGACCCGGGACCCACCACGTTCAGCATGCTCTAAGGACCCCAGGTGGTCGCGGCTGAACAACGCGCGGCCTGGCGCCCCAGTGCGATCCGGGACTTCCTTCTTCCCGCGCACTGGCCGCTCCACCGCGATGGACGCTTTTCACAATGAGGCCTTCCGACGGTGAGCGTCCTTCGCCAGAGCGAGGCGTGCTCCTTTACAGACTTCAAGCATGTCAGCTCGGGCGGCATGCTCCCCCGACGGGGTTTCTGCAGAGGAGCCTTATTTGCTCTCTTCTGACAAGGGGCTGCGCAGCTTCAGCTTTATGGCGCTGCCAGCTGCTCGAAGACGGCGCTGAGCGGCGAAAAGGGCGCTGTCAGCCACAGGCCTGTCTTGCCCCCGCCCACGCCCACGTCGAGCGTGGCCTTGGGCGGCGAATCCGGAAACAGGGGGCCTGTGTTCAAAACCCGCTTGGCCCGTTGGCCGTAGGTGTCCTTTTTGGTTGTTTTGCTAGAAAACTCGATGGCGATTCCTGCCTGGTGGTTGAATCTACCAGGGCCATCCATTTCCCCCAAAAGGACGATGTTTCTATGGGTGTGTCGAAGGTAGCCCTGGGAAAGGCACTGGATGGGTTTCCTGGTGGTTTCTGGAGACCCCCATCTATTTCCCTTGAAAGGACACCCATGCCCTCGGTTTCCAACTGGCCCTCGCGGAAAAAAAAAAAACCTCCGGCCTGGGAGGCTCGGCGCCCTGCCCTGGGCCTCATCTCCCTCTCGGCGGATAGAGAGGCGGCAATTGCTGCAGGTGGGGTGGCTTGGGATCCGGTCTCAAACTTGGGGGATGGCCTCCCCTGAACATCATGTTGGGCACCATGTTGCTTGAGAATGGATGTCTCACTAAAAGTGGGCCAGTCTTTCCACATCAGTATGCTTGGCTTGAATCATGCAACCACGGACTGAGCTCTCGTGTAGGTCTCCTTGCTTAGTGACAGAAAGAGGTAAAGTTTCAAGCAATCAGCGCTTGATTCCATGAATGCGTTCGGAATTGCACCATCTCCAATTGCCTGATTTAGAGTTGCGGCCTTTGGCTGTGGCTTATTTGGTGTTGGCAGCGTTCAGCCCTAGCGTGCCATTGGTGCTCAAACATAGGCGTGACCAATAACCGTGCCTGTCAGCAGCGATTTTCTTGCAGCTTCCAGGCGCGGACTTCGTTGCCGTTGCCTCAGAGTTCAGAGTTGCCTCGGGTGGTTTGGTTGCGCACTGGCACGTTTTTTTTGGCCGCATAGCATGGACGGGCCACAAACAGTCCCAGAGACCCGGCCTGGTTTGTTCGGCTTCTCCTCTGGCCTGTGAGTGATTTACGGTCCCTGTGCTGTGCGAAAGGAGCCGTTGCCAGGTGTATGGAGATCGTGTGCGGGCGCAGCAACAGCTGCTGCGTCGGATGCAAGAGAAGCTGGGCCAAGAAAGGTTGAGCAGCTTCTGGGCGGATGCTGCGGCAAGCTATAGCCTGGGCTTACGATTTTAAGCAGTATTTGCTATGTCGACCAGCCACCTCTGGACGGCCGTTGCGCGTGCCGTGACATTTTAGCTGGGATCATTTCAGCAAATGCAGTGTCATTTGGCATGGCAGCTGAGGAGATTCATCCGGCATATCCGGCCAATTTTTCCTGGGCGCAATACTGAAAACTGTGCCTCGGGTAGGGCCGAACATGTCATTCGTCGGGTCATTTGTTAGGCCATTAGAAGTGATGTAGGAAGACAGACAACCTCAGAAGGCCGGTCACTAAGAATTGAACTCGCAACCATCACCCTCTGAGCTTTTCTCATAAGCACCATGGTTTCCATGAGCTGGTCCTCCAAGCCTAACGTTCAGCTTCGTTTGCTTTTTTCCCGTTCCCCGCCGGGGGGAAGCAAAAATGATGGCCTGATGGCGGCGCGGGTGGGCCTCAGCGAGGACCGGGGGGAAGCTGTTGCGCCCCGAACTGGGGAGGCCGACTTTCCTTTTTGGAAACAACTCTCAAGGGGGTACCGTCAAACGGAGGAAAGATCCATTTGGAGTTTTAGTTTGAGGTGCTGGCACTTGTGTTTGGCAGTGGGCTGGTGATTCCTGCTCGCTTGTAGATCATCCAACATCACTTATCCCAAATCAAAGTGGAGCCAGTGCTGCTTCCTCCTCCCCAAAATCTGTGAAGTCCCGCACACCGGAAGGGCAAGCCCACTGATTGTAGAATTGGCATGGGACTAGACATCCCCTTTTTCGACTGGGGGCACAATAGGGCACGGAAGACGGGGCGACGGCGTATGAGAGTTCCAGTTTCTCTGAGCCAGCCGCATTGGAACGAATAATGCTTATTTGGCCATGGGGCATAGCCTATGGCTCCATTTTCGGGCGGATGAACATCCATTTGCCACCTATTTTGATGGTCACCAGGGGTACGGAATTGGTTTTGACAACCACAGCCATTTGACCCATGGAATCATTTGACGCTTTTGCAAACCAGTCCCACCACTGGCATTTCGTTTGGGCAGTTCCAGGCCTGGGCCGTGGACGCACGGCATGTGGGCTGCTATACCGGCGGTAAGGCCGGGCACAGGAACCGCACAAAGGGGCGGAGGGGGGGACGGGGGTTGGGAACCTTCGTCGTTGTTGGCAAGATCCATTTTCTTTTCTTTTTTTGGTAAAGAGCATGGGCAACCACCCAGGGGGTTCTGCTGCCCTCTCAAAAGCAATGGGTGAATAGAATGCCAATGGCCTAAGCAAATATACTATCCAGGTGATGTTTGAAACTTTCTCAGCATTATTGACACGATTTTTGGGATGTTTAAACTTGAGAAGCCCTGCCAGTATGACACCGGGTTTGATGCTTCAAACATGAGGGGACGCCCAACCACGTGGCTTTCCTGTTGATTTCCCTTCAAACCAACTCCAAGAAATGGGAGTCGGGCAGAGCCGAGGTCGCCTTCTGCGAGTCGTCCAACCTCCTAGGTTGTGGAGCTGGCCTGTGTGCAGCTCAACAAGTCGTATGGGGAATGCGAGTCCCCTGTTTTTCTTCGAAGCAGCTGCAAGAATGGTGCGGGTCCCAAGAGAAGCCTGTTGGGATGTTGGCACCACTTAGATAGCCACGACTGGAAAAAGTTTTTTTTTTTGTTTTGTTTTGTTTTAAATCACTCGCTGTGATTGCAACGGAAGCTGTTAGTCAGTTAGTCAAGAGGATCGCTGATTTGGGATGATCCACATTTTGGCTACAACTTGCTTCTTTCGGGACGGGCAGCCCAATCCCGAATGAGCCCAACGGAACAGGGGGGGATCTTGAGATGAATCAGGAAATCCCAGAAGATTACTTGTTGCCTCAACATGGCAACCGCTGATGCAAGGTCCCTTGTAAAGCAAGAGTCTCCGCCGGCCCTCGCGCCCCGAGTTGTGTTGGATACGTGTGTGGCTATGAATCGGAATGGGGGACCCCTCTAAAATGGTTGGAGGAACCCCACGTGAATGATGCCCAGTGGGTCCAAAATTGAAGTTCTTGCAGGTGTTGCGGAATTCAGGGGACCTCAAGATGCTTGAACTTTTGAACATCTCATACCCCTGAAAAGGACCAAGCACGTTTTCTTGGGAAAGGCTAGACCCTTTTTTGGAGTGGTGTTTGGGTGGTAGGACACATCTTTATGAACATCTACAAGTTGCTGCGTCCCATCCTCCCCACAAGCCCCCCCAGGGCAAAGCTCGAAGCGAGCGCCAGGCCTTTGTGAGGAGGAGCTTCACCTGGTGGACGCTGCCCTCAAGGCGACCAGACCGGGATAGGCATGCAGAATGGGTCTCCCCCCCCCCCCCCAAAAGGTCGGCGTCCCTGAAGTTTCCCTTATAAAACTTGTAGCCAGCCCCAAAAAAGGGGAACTCTACTCTGAAAAGAAGGCGGACCCAACTTGGCACCCGGGAGAACTGGGTGAAGTGCGCCTCCTTGGGAGCAATTCGCTCCGTGCGGCTGTCAGGTGCCGACGCGGCGGGTGTCGCAGGAAGGGGACGGGGTGCTGACCTTCGCAATCGACCACCTGGGCCTGAATGCCTGCACTAGCCACAGGCACATGGGCCCGTTGGGGTGGGTGTTTCGGGTTGGTGCGTGAGCTGAGGGGGGCTGGCAAAATCCAACTGTGCACGACTCACGACTGGGATTGTTTGGGGTGAAATGGACCTTGACAGGCATCCAGGGTTTGCATCCCGAGTGGAGCACTGCTTGAGGAGTGGTCTGCTGCGGCATTTCACCCTGGGTGCAGATCTCAGAGGATCCCTGGTTTCAAGCTCTGAAGGTAGCGGATGCGCTTACAACCCCTCTCCAAAGTTTCACTTGTGGCATGCAAAAGGGGCGGGGCAGTAGTATCAGTGATGCTTCGTTCTATCCTCTGCAGGGGATTGCTCTCGCTCAAAGGTGAGACGATCACCTTGGCGAGATCATGGAGGGGTCATGAGCAGGCGCGGACGGGTGCCTTGAGCCAGACAGGCAGCACAGATCGGTCATTCCAACATTGGAGCTGTACTTTCTACAATAAGATTTATGTCAGAACAACTTTTTTTTTGGGTAAAAGGGTGTTGGTTCAGCCATGTTTTTTTTCTTCAAATCTTGCATGCACAGGCTGTCAGCGTGTCAGTCAGTTCACGTTCACGTGCCAGTTCGCCTTACCTCTCGACAGTGCCTAGCTTGTTGTTTGCCTGATCTCAAAGACCCGAGGTGTGTCAGAACTCTCCCCAAGGATGGTCTCAACCCAAACCTTCGGCAGGTTGGCCTTTTCGTCCGTCGTGTTGGATATTGTCCGTATGTTGTGTTTCCAATTTTCAGAAGTCTGCCCTCAAGTTTCCCACTAACTTTCAATGAGTTTCCTTTCAGTCCCCGTTCTTTTTCCAACCGGAGTTTCCTCATGTTTGAACAAGTTTCCCTCAAGTGTCCGCCTTTGGCCTTGGTTTAATTTGTCAGGGGGCGTTCTTTTGGTCCGTTCGCCGAAAAAGGGGTCCGTCTCACTTGGGTGTACCTCCCCCATCCCCCCCGTCCGGCCGACCGGCCGAGAAAGGCGTCGTGAGGTGGTGGCGGACGTGAGCTTCGACGCCACGGGGGCGCTGGTGGCCACCGGCTCGGTGGACCGCACCGCCAAGGCGCGCACGGATCCCCGAATCCCCGTGCCCAGCCCTTGGGGCCCTGGGCCATGTTTCCTATTCTTGGGTGTTTTGCCTGGGCAGAATAGATGGGTTTCCCTGGTTTACCTGGTGCCTTAATCATCTACCAGTTGTTTTATTTACAAAATGCTAGGACACCACCCATGCTTGGGGCGTATTTGTCGCCTTTTTTTTTAATCCCTGGAGTGGGTAGTTTAATTTGGCCCGTCAGATAGGGGCGTGTTTTGTCAGCTTTTGTTTTCTTGAGTGGTTTTTGCAGATGGCAGATACCCAGTCGATGCAGAAGACAGGTGCCAGACGCTGTTTTAGCGGGTCCCCCCTTTTGAGAGACACCCAAACATTGCAAGTGAAACAATCGCCTCCTCCACCGAAGCCTGGAAATTTGCGGTGGGTGACAGGGTTTACTTTGCTTGGCTCAAGGTCTGCCCCCTGTGCTGGCATGCCTGAAAGGGCGCGGCATCACACTCCAGAAGTGACTGGAGCGCAGGTGTGGGACTTCCAGGGTTACTTTTGCACCCACAACTTCAAAGGCCACGCCGGCATCGTGACTTTAGCGCGCCTCGCTTGCAAGTGCGGTGTGTAGCGATGGTGTTGCTTTCCCACGTCAAGGCTCTGGCACTGTCCTGAGAACAGCCAAGGAGAGCTTGACTTGGCTGTGGGTCAAAACCAATGGTACCATTTTGGGGTAGGTGCACGGGCTTTTGACCCATGGCCACTGATTCAATCCTGGTACTGCAGTTCTGGGACAAGTGGCTTTGATTGTTCGACCGCTGGCCGTGGCACCAAGGCGCTTTCATCCAACAAGGCTTCAGCTCGTCACCATTGCCGACACAGAGGCCATGGATGGGGCGAACTTTTTTCCTCCGGAGCCGTGCGAAATGATGAATCAAACCCTTGGCACAGGATTGCATCACTGGCACTGTCCTTTTTCCGAGGTGCCCGTTTGTGAAGAAAAAGCGCAAAAGGACCACCGAAGCTGGTCTTTTTTTTTCTTGTTGGGGACGCGCCCCGTGATCCATGTGGTTCTTCGAGCCCTGGAGCCTTTCCGCGTTGATTCTGTGGAGGCGAGGCTTTGGGACCTGGAGTCCTCCCAGTGTGTGGGCATCATGAAGGCCGCTCGGGGTTGGCCGAGGTCGTGCCAAGGCGAAGTCGGAAATTCGTTGAACACCTGGAGAGGAGCCACAAAATACGTAATATGGCTGTGGGTCAAAACCAATCGTACCAGTTTGGGGTAGGTGCACCACCCATTTTGGTCTATTTTAGTGGGGATTGGGATGTTCACTGGGGGGTACGGAATTTTGACCCATGGCCATAGAATTTGGAGTTGCCTTTGAACAACATGTCCGGATTTCAGAGTGTGACAGGATCACCTGGCGAGCATCTCCTCGATGTGCTTTGGCCTGGCTCTTGGCCCAAGGGCAACATGCCAAGCAGTTGGCTTCCCACAGAGTGCCCCTTAGAACAACCACGGAGTCAAATGCAAAGCTGACAAAAGCAAAACGAAAGCAGACCAAGACGCAGATGCTTTCGGAAAGACGCCCGCATTCCTGGTCCGTTTTCGGCTCGTTTGTGTCCATGATAGCCTTCTTTGGAGATTCAGAGACGTCTGCAGGACAATGATGCCTTTTCCGTACTATGAGTTTGGCCCACATTTTGTTGATCGTCTTCTCAAAGGGCCATCCTTCAGAAGCAATGTGAGCGGCTTGCGTGTAAAGCAGCCGAGACACTCTACTCGATCAGAGCAAACACAATCTATATGACTGTGGCTCAAATAAATGTACCAAAATGGCCCCTTGGTAAATGGAACCAAAGACTAAAACCTGCGAAACCCTAGCTCTTGAATTTTGAGCCACACCCAAAAGAAATTGGTTGTGGCCGTGGTTCAGAGACCAAAAACCTTTCGACTGAAACGTCTGCAGATCTCGTTTGCTGAGGCCAAGTGAAGGGCCGGCACTTCGAGCTGGTCACTTCCGGCCGGGATCAGGCCTGCGGCCTGTGAGGGGCCCCGTTTTTGTAGGGTACCCCCTTTTCGGGCACACACACACACACAGAATTCAGCCTAGGCTTGCAAGTGGTTTTGCAGCCACCGTGATTGGGTAAGTGCACGACGTCAATGACACTCAACCTGGTGTCCAAGAACGCCTCACCTCAGCATCAGGCACGTGCACGTCAGCTCTGCGCAGCTAGAACTTGCCAGCTAAGCCTCGACGCAATAGGCCTAAATGGGCGGTCTATTTTAGGGATTGCCTGAAGATAAGAGCAGCCACCAGACAACAAGGAGGTCAGATGAATGCGCCTTTTTGCTGGCATGATGCCCTTGCCATGTTGTCCTTTTGCGGCCTATTTGGAGCCGGTGAAGGGTGTTTACACAAGCGCCAACACTTCGGGAGGAACTTGTTCAAAGCCGAGGGCAAACTCAAGACGAATTCAAAGCGGGTTCCAAGCCAGCACACCCACACACATATAACACATTTATGCACGCACTGCCACTTGTTTGCTGAAGTGTGACATATTTACGGCAAACAAGACAAGGGGATGCGGAGAATGATGGTCGTTGGGCCGATCCATTTTTCTTGGGCAGGTGGTGAATGTGTGGAACATCCAGGGTCAATGCTCCTTGGTGCGACTTGGCTGCAACGTGGAGTCTTGCTGGCTTCCCATTCATTGGCGTACGTCCTTCTTGCCAGTGCAGTGTACTGGCGCTAAGTCCTGTTTGCTCTGGCTATGGCCACCCCAACACGACCAGTTTGTGGCCTTTGCCCCCAGTCTGAGGGATTGAGGGAGCCAAATCTCGGGGCCGCAAAGGGTTTTGCCTGGCAAGGCGGTCAATCCCGGCCGGGGCCCCCAGGAGTCGCGGTTGCTCGCTTCGGTCGTGGCACATGTCGGGCTTCAATGAGCAAACACTCCATCGCCCCCAATGCCTAGGCATAGGCCAGGGTTGGCATTTAAGGGGGCGGCCCACGGCATGATGCAATGGAAGGTGCAAGCGCACCTTCTCACAGCATGAACACGTTTGATCGAGGTCAGATTGTTGCTGGATTGCTGGGTCATACGGTTTGTTTAGTTCCTCTAGTTTTTTCGTTGGGTCTTTGGATCCTTCCTTCCTTCCTTCCTTGCTTCCTTCCTTGCTTCTGTCTTGTATCCTCGCTCCTTCTGATAAGTCACCTGTGCGTTTGCTTGTTCTTCGTAACTTGCTGAATATTTGTCAGCGGCCAACTGGTGCGTGCCTTTGGGCTCCATTCATATCCCATGGGCAACCGGCGTTTCCAGCTGCGCAGCTCTTTCGAGGTCTTCGAAAGTGTCGAGGGCGTGGCTGCAGCCTGGGGCCGAGAGGGTTGACCTTCAACCTGGGCTCGGTTCACGGGCCTGAGAGCGGGAACGCCCTTTTCATTAGGTTCCGGTTACAACTATCCATCCCATCCCATGCCATGCCAAGAGAAGAGGCAAAAGACTGAGGGGGAGAGAGAGAGAGAGAGAGAGAGAGAGCGAGAGAGAGAGAGAGCGAGAGAGAGAAAGAGAGAGAGAGAGAGAGAGAGAGGGAGAGGGAGAGGGAGAGGGAGAAAAAGAGAGCACCATCCCCATGCCACGGCATCCCTTGCCATCCCACCCCACGCTGTCCCACGCCATCCAATCCCATCCCATCCCATCCCAGCCCACATCCCACCCCATCCGGTTTTCCACTGTCTCAGGTTCCCTCCAAGCTCCTGCGGCAGCAGTGCGTCCATCTCAGCCTTTCGTCTCGTCCTGCTGGTCTCTTTTGGAGCCGTCTCGTCAGGCAAAGAGCGCACAGTCTTCCGCGGCGCCTTCGCAGATTGGCTCCGGCAGGCGGGCTTTCGTCAGGCAGGAAAGAGGCACTTCGGCGGTCGGAGCGCCTTTTGCGTAGGCCAAAGAGCCGGGGGCCCAGGAAGCTGACCTCTGGTACATTGATGGCGACGCTTTGAGGCCGCCAGCCTTTGTGATTTTCACGGTGGGCAACAAAGGCCGGCGAAGTGTGGGACTCTGGGACCGCGCTTAGGCTTCGAGCCGCCCCTCTCCTCAAGATCGGGGGACGGGGGACGGGGCGTCAGAGACCGCGGCGCAGGCGTCATACGAGCCTGGAACCCCTTGGATGGAAAGTGCGTGGCCACCCACGTGTCGGACTCGGCAGACAGAGGGTGAGGTGAAAGTTAAAACTAAAACGGAATCAAGGGCCGGTGGTATTGCTGGTACCGTTACGTCAAGTTACCTTGCAGGTGAACTCAAGGCCGTCCCAACCACAGGCGCCGCGCTCTACAAACAGCCCCCTACTGCCAAGCTAATCAGCAAAGTCACCAGCAAGATACCCCGCAAGTCCTGTTGCACTTGCGTGACAGGGGCTGTCTTGGAGGGCAACGCGAGCATTCTCCGAATACGCAGGTTAAAAATAGCTGAGGCTTCGCCACACGCAGCCAAAGGTGAGCTGCGGCAGATACTTAGCTGGGCGCCCCAGGGAAGCGTTGTACAGCGGGGTATTGGAGCACACCACACTTCTGAAGTTTGCTCGGCGAAGCATCCTCCTGCATCTTTGCGCCCGGAGGCTTAGATTCCGCCACTGGCACCAAGATGGTGACCATCGGCGAGGCTGGGGAGCTCGCTTTCGGTGCCGGGCTTCAGCGCTTCTGGATGTTCTTTTTTTCTTCTTTTTTTCTCTCCCCCTTTCGGTCTGCGTTGACTGAAGACGTCGGCCATCAACGTTTGCATAGGCAAAACGTGCTTCTGCGTCTTGGGACCGGCAGGACTTGAACCTAATGATGTGGTCGCTTCCAGAGTTTGAAGTCTTCAGCCACATCATGGGTGGCCACCTTAGTTCTTGTACCTGAGCAAGCCTTACAGAAATCCATGATGCTTGGCTGTTTGCGTGTTGCCGCACCTTCTTGAGGACACAATGATGAGATTGTGCATGTCCAGCTCATCCCGCAGATCACTTGGTGACGCCCCAAGACTACTGCTTTGCGACACCTTGAATAAACGGAATGGACTTAAGGCCAGAGGAAATGGACGATGCTGCGTCGGGGTCGCAGGCTCAGACGAGAGTGCCGAACGCCGCACTGGTTCTTGCCGAGCAACCATGAGAGACGGGCCAAGCGTTGAGCCAGCGAGAGCCGGCATCGGCGTCCGGCACGAGTTGACAGAACCAGACCGGTGAGGAAGGCGAAGACCGGTGAGGAAGGCATCGGTCGATCTCGGGACCCGAGGCCCGCGACTGCGGACCGCTTCGTGTGCATCGCCAATGACGAGCATCCCAGGCCCTTGGGGGCCCTTCGGTAGACCTCGGTGCTGCAGAAAAATTTGGAAGCCGAATGAGCTTTCGAAAAGGCGGCTTTTCTGGGTTGATTCTGTTGGGGTTGGTTTCTCGTGAGCGTTTCATGCTGTTTCAAGGGTTGAAAGGGAAGATATGTACCTGTAGGTGTCAACTCAGTACATGGATGGATAATCTAGAGGAGGTCGGCCACCAAATTGCGCATGAGGGTTGATCGAAAGAACCTTTACATGTGGTGACCATTAGGGAAACCACGAACAAAGAATTGATCAACCTCCACATATTTGCCCGCAGACCTGACCGCGAAAGAATGCGAGGTTGACTGTGCACGTGTTTGTTGTGCGCAAGCTGCGCCTAGGGGGCCGCGCCATTGCGCACAGTTAACCGCGTAGCAGCGTGTGGATGACAGAGAAAGCATGTGCGGCTGGCCGCAATGTCGGACCATCACTCGCCGTTTCATTCTTTCCTCAAGTTTTCAAGCTGCACAAGACTAAGGAATCTTTCTTCCTGACATGCACACATGGCCATAAGTCAAAATCCCGTACCCCCAGTGAAGACTAAAATGGGTGGTGAATTCACCTACCCCAATATGGTACCATTGGTTTTGACAACCACAGCCATGTGCCATGGGGGTCCATCTTGGGGCGACGGCGTGCGACTGCGACAGGGTGGTGAACTGCGAGGGCTTCGGTGCGGCGATGCCGGGCACGAAAGGGACGGTTCGGAGGAAGCTACAGGTTGCGAGTTTGGGACATGGAGACCTCACCGAGTTTTTTGGTGAAAGTCTTAGGTTGCTAGTGTCATGCATGGGCGGAATTAATAGGGACTAGTTGGACAGCTCCGTCGTGCAGCCATTAGCCATGCGCTTCGTGACCTCCACACCTCCAAAAGAATTGTAGAACAAGGAGCTAGATGTGTGCACCAGCTCCCAGACCATATGAGGTGGATTGAATCCTGCACCACCCTGAGAACTGCAAATACCAACAGACGATGAGTTCAATGATGGTTTCATTTCGTGGTGCGAAATGGATTTCGCAACCATCCGCAGTATGGGGCCCTCAGCTAGACACGGAAGGGTTTCGCCCTCGTTTTCCACGAGGCTCCGGGGTCACAAAGATGTGGTCATCTCCTGCGATGTCTCGGTGGACGGGGCCTGGATCGCCACGGGAGGCGCGTTTAGGGGGGTTATTTCGCCCCGTCAACCCCGAAGCCGTGTTGGTGACTTGGTGGTAAAACAGCTTTCGCTCAGAGGATGTGTTTTCTTGGAGGATTGAAAGATCCCCAGCTCAAGGGTCAGCGACCTTGGTCATCTCAGGATGGAAAGGGGAATGGACCCAATGGTGATCGTGGGAAGGGCATCTTGGGTAAGGGCTCAGTCAGGATGTGCTGCTCTTCCCTTGTGCCTTGTGCAGAGGTCTGAAGACGCCTGCGTTGTTTGTTAAGGTGGTTTGGAATTGATGGGAATGGGCTCTGCCCAGCCATCTTTATATATATATATAGTTTCATATAATATAATATCGTATGGTACAACACAATATAACATAGTATAATATAATATACATGGCAACATGCATGTTGCGGGCCTCGTGGCATGGGCTTTGGGAAGGATGCACAGGGCGACTTGGAACTTGCAATCCGGAAATCCAGTATTTGGTCACGGATTTGAATAGGGGACCTGGATTGGTGGACCCAAATCCCGACCTGAATGATGTTTAATAACGAGTGCCCAGTCTTAAATTTCATGCCCATCTGGTGAAGCTGAGTGATGCTGGGCCTCGAGGAAAGGACCAGATCATCCACATTTGGAGCGCTGCCAGCTGCGAGCTGGCAGGGGGCCGAGCCGGGAAGAAGCCGGGGGCGGAGGCGGAGAGGCCCAGAGGAGGAAGCATAGGTGTTCTTTATTGGGCTAGTTTGGTTAGGAAAGATCAATGAAAAGATGGGTTCGACTGGTTTAGGTTGGTTTTATGCCATGTACTAGGGCCATCTATTTTTCAAATTCATGGCAGGGAGGTTTCAGCCGGTTTTGGGCAAACTTTCGGGTTCGAAGCTCGATGCCTCGATGCCCTGAGGGCAAGTGCCACGCCTCGCTGTGGCTTGAGGCTTGCACGTGCTCGGGGCATGCAGGAGATGTGCCAGGCACTGAGCCGCGCATGTTGAGAGGCAGGCCCAACGGACCCCATTGGATTTCCGGAATTTTGTTTCATTCGCGCGTCCAGGGCGCCGGTTCTTTTCAACTTCCGAGCGTCTGAGGTCCGCCCTCTCCTTCGCCAAGCGCCGGCCGCGCTCGGCGCGGGCCTCAGCCGGGCCGGAGGACCGAGCTTGGTTTTTTCTTTTTTCGTTTGGAAGACAGAGGTTGGTAAGGAGCCAAAGGGAAACAGGTCAGGATTCACAGCGACCTAGTTTGGGAGCACAGAGACTTCAAAGCTATGGTGGTGGAACCAAAAGCCATAGTTTTTTTTTTTTTTCCCCCGTGCTGCTCATTTACTTGCTTCAGGTCGCTAATAAGCGCAGGATTTTGAAGGTCAGTCTAGCGGGCAGCCAAATGCTTTTCAACACTTTCGGCAAGGAGAAGTTGCATAGAGGTTACAGAGTATATGTTCTAGCTTTCAATGGGGGAGACACAGATACACATTCATTGCCCACATTTGAGGCTATCATGAGGGCTGTTCGGAAACAGACACCTAGTGAAGGCCGGATCGCTCATTTTTCTTACAGACGCCACTGCGATCCCCCGAATAAGACAAGTTTGTCACTCTGCATATAGGGGTGTCTGCTAGATCGATCCCCATTTCATGGGAAGCGCATATTGATACGCGGCCTGCTCGACTTTCTCTAGACCTGCTTGTCCATGGTTGCCAGCCCTTTATGGATGGAGCGCCCTTCAATACATGATCCAGCATGATGCCCATCGAGGAAGCCACGGCTACAGCCCATTTGGGCGAGTTTTCCCTTTCTTTGGGGCTACTTTTTTTTGGTTGGATTTTAAAGGCATGCCCAAAAGTCAAAGTAGCCAACCCTTTTCGGGTTTTCCAATTTGGAAACAAACCCGATATATATTTCGAGACGTGCGGAGCCTCCACCGCTGGCGTCCTTTTGCCAGCCGCCCCCGTTGCCCAGCTCCGGGCTGCGTCGCAGCAAGAGACGCTGCCGATGCTGCTGGTGAGCGCCAGCCGACTTCTTGGTGCGCGGGCGGGGGGGGAAGAAGTGGCCGCGGCCATGGTTGCCGTTGCAATTGAGATTTGAGGCATGGGCGGGGAAAAGGGGGGGCGACCACAGTTCTTGAGCTGAAACAGTTAAGGAACCAGATCTGCGATGTAAGCAGTTCTTGGCTGAAGTTTTAGATGGAGCTCGGTGACTGCGTTTGCATTGCCTGAGGCCAGGACAAGACGATGAAGATTTGGGAGATCCCCAGTGCGCGGGCCCTAGTGGGCGGAGATGAACCAACCCCAAACCGCACCGTAGACCACCACAAACCACCCTGCCCTTCAAGAGACAAACAGAAAAACACCAGAGGAACATCTCTTGAAGTGAAAGCATCCAGTTTGCCATTCACGGACTTCCTGGTGTTTGGCCCCGGAGGCATGCTGACGGGTTTGAAACGCGGATTCCTCGGTCCAAGTCCTTGCGCCAAGGCAAAGGAACTGGACAAGGCCGGGGGTGATTCAACAAATCACAGAATAAAGAGCTCGTGAGCCAGGCTCCTTGAAAAGAAGGAATCCAGACTGAATAGACTTTTTTTGACTGATTGACCTTTGGGGGCGGGGAAGGGTCACTGGGTCACTTTCCCTCAAGTCCTCAAGTGGAGAGGTCGAATTGTTCAAAGGGATCCATCTTCGCGAGGTGCTTGGCTCTGGCACCAAAGTGAAGAAGGCCAAGGCCACCGCCGACGCCCTGGCGCCTTGTTTTTCTTCCGCCCGAGACGTTTTGATTGGTTTGGTTTGAGTCGTCTCTTGGACATCCCTTTTAAATGAAAAGGGGTAGATCAAAGAATGGCATCCCTTTCTTTCAGTCGACCCCAACAAGGGGTACCTCAAAAAATGGGCATGCTTCGGCTTCGGCTTCTCAGGCGACCCACAAAGGTAGCTCCAAAAGACAAAGGACGCCTCTGGAGCTGACACCGCGCCTCAGGTCATCGCGCACTCCAAGGAGGTGAACGATGCCCCGCGCTCAGATTGGACAGAGCGGCCCATGGCTGTCGGGCGAACGTGGTATCGCAAGACAGGAACATTCGCAGAACCACAGAGCCACAGATGTGGGGAATTTACGATCAGCCCCTTTTTTTGGTTGAAACAAGGGGAGCCAACAGGAAAACGAAGCCATTGTGGGTTCCCCCGTTTTGGCCCTGCGAACTCGCGCTGCGCGCGAGGTCCTCGTCTCGCCCAACAACAAGCTGATTGCCACAGGCGGCCAGGACCCGCTCCGCGCGAATCGAGTGAATCGACGGCTAGGAAGACTCGTGTTCTCCGCAGGGGACCATTACACACTTGTCTAGTTTATGCCTGCTTTGGGTGAATGCCCTTGCGCAAATCAAAGTGGCAAAACAAAAGCCATGTGAGGACAAGCTGGTGCGCATTTGGAGCTTCCCAGAGGGCGACCTCTTGGGAGAATGTGCGCAACTCAGAGCCAGCCAGTCAGGCTGCGGGTTTGGTGGCTCCCCCGATCTTGCATACATCATCACCATATCGCCCTGGATCCGGTGTCCTCCCATTCTCAGCTCAGCAGCATCTTAGTCTGGGCAACATGCCATCATGTCACATCCTGTTCGCAGAGAAAGCGGCGGCTTTGTCTCCCGCGTGTACCTGTACAAATCCGCCTTGCTCCGCGCGGCTCCGCGTGTACCGAGGCAAGGGCCACCGGAGGGGCGTGTGGTGTGTGGCCTTCTCGCCCATTGATCAAGTGGTGGCGTCCGCCTCCGGCAGCGGCCTGAGGCTCTGGGTTGGGTCCGACACCTCGACCGTACCACGTCCAAGCCGCAACACGGGTTAGCCTCATCCAAGGGGCAAACAGGGGTCATTATTTTGACGGTTTCTGGGGCTTATCAAAGTCATAAAGTGGGGTTGTTTCTTTTTCACCCGCCACTTAGGGGGTGACTTTGACCATGGTAAAATTATGAGGCCAGCTAAATGTATTTGAAGTGACATGTGTATGGGGGCTTCCCAATTCCAAGAAAGCTGTGTGACCCCAGGTGTTTGTGGGCTTTTTGGACCTGAGGTGACACCACGATCAGATTGTGGAACCTGAAGGATTTCAGGCACGTTCGAGCTTTTCGATGGGATTGGGGTTTCATTCTGCTTGGGAGATGATTCGAAGGGCATGGAGGCTGACCTGGGCGAGCTGGACTTTCCTCTCGCAGGGCTGGGTTTCCTGGAAGGGTGTTCTTTAGATTCCGCGTGTTTGACACCTACAGCATGATCTCTTTGGCTTCGTGGTTTGTTAGACAGCTTGAAGGCATTCACCCATCAGCTCTCGTTCTCATTTGCATCGGAGGCACTCCACACCAAGCACGGCCAATTCCCCCTCCTTCATGTTCCTTTGATGGTGCCCAGTGGGATTTGTCTGGATTTTTTTGGCACCTCTTCCTTAGTCCACCCCCACAGCCTGCGGCTTTGGCCATCACTCCGAAAGTTTCCGCGTGGAGTCCCTTTGAAACGAAGAGGGATCCCCCCGCCCCCCCCCCCCCCCCGCCCCCCGCCCGTTTTGGGGCACGCCTCTGTGGCTATGAATTTTAATAAGGGTCCACAAAAGTGGCTGGACATAAATCCCCACCTAAATGGTGTCCACCAAAGGGTCCCCCATAAAAAAAAAGAAGGAAAAAACAATCAAACAAAAAAACAAGACACCCCGTGAACCCGGCAGGGCCATCCGGAGCTTCCAGGGCCACGGCAGCGCTGTGCTGCGCGTGGCCTTCCTGGGCAACGGCATGCAGCTCATGAGCAGCGCGGTGGACGGCCTGGTGAAGCTCTGGCATATCAGGAGAGCCACGGGGGCACGGCTCACCACCCGGGGAGACTCCCCCAGACGAACCTTCCCCAGAAATAGCTCCCCCCTTTTTGTTTTTTTTGGTTTGCTTTTTTGTGGTCCCTTTGTTTTTGCACCAACCAGGCAAAAGAGATATCATTATTTTGCTGGGGTCCTAATTCCAGCATAGTAACATGGAAGCTCCCAGGACCCTGTTGGAAGACTTGTTCCACTTGCAGAGGCCTTCTGTAAACTGCCATGTTAGTTTGAGGGAGCGTAGTTGAAGGTTAGTGTTGGATAGTCCCAGCCACAGATGCTTTACATGGTTCTGGGTGGGACATGGTTCTGGGTAGACCATTGCAACAAAAGGTTTTGATTGTGGATGCCGGGCCGTTGCCGGTACGCGGTCCTTGCCCTCGGTCGGATAAAATACAAAAGGAAGTGAGGGAGGGCAGCCGCATGGCAGGATTGAATATGGCTGTGGCTCAAAATTCAAGAGCTAGGCTTACGCGGTTTTAGTCTTTGGTTCCATTTACCAAGGTGTCATTTTGGTACATTTATTTGAGCCACAGTTATATGTGCTGGGGTGTTCGTTGACCATGTTTGCTTGGCACTGCATCTTTAATGATTTAGCTGCAACGAAAACAGCTGTCCTGGTTAACGGAAGGCAGAGAGTGCACCGGAGTGTTGGACGGTTACTTCAGAGAGGGGCACGTCATGAGATGTAATTAGATGTGAACAACTCACGATTTTAACTTCATTTTCCAGCAACCATCACCAAGAGCCATGATTGAGAAGAACCAGTTGCAAACGGATCTCTGAGTTGAGGATGGGCCAGGCGGGGAATTTTCCCGGTGTCCAGGACTGCCGAGTGCGCCGGCACTTTCGAGGAGCACTCCAGCAAGGCGCGCAAGTTCAAAGTCGGCGTGTCTTGCGCCGGTATCCTCTTGGAACGGATTGAGAGCGAGAATGAGAGGAAGCACCACCCACTTTAGGGGTTTCTTTTGTTTTTAGGCCGCCTCCTCCTTTTGGAACGCTGAAAGCGAGAATTAGAGAAAGAGCCGCCCATTTCAGGGGTTCCCTGCTTTTATCCGCAAAGAAGGTTGGAACTGCCGGACTTTCCAGTTGTTGCTGCTGGAGCCCGTGGGCGCATTGGACTCAGGTCTGGTGCATCGACATCTGCGGTGACCGCATGGTGTCCGGTGGTGCCGACTCCAAGATTTGCCGCCCCGGCCTGGACTTACGTTGGAAGTCCATAGGGCCGGGGTTTTGGCACATCTGCCAACCACCCATGCACTCAAGGAGGGGTCTCGCGTTTGTCTCACTTAACCCCCAAGTCTTTCTCAGACAGGGCGCTGCATCGGGAGTGTACATTGCAGCTAGGAATCTTTTGTGCGCCGCCAGGGTGCCCTAAGACGCATGGTACTTGCACATGGCTTGCGTGTCGGTTCAATGCCAGGTGTTTGGCGGGACTCCACCGAGGAGATGGAGAAGCAACGTGCGTGCCCCCAGCCGCGTGTTTATCTCTCCGTGGGACACTAGGGGTGAACTTTCAGGAAGCGGGCCCGTCGGCTGAAATTCGGAACGCTGATGGGCTTGACTGGCCCAGGCCAAGATGAGAAAGCTGAGCTGGCAATCAAGGCACGCGATATGAATTCTGTTCCCTTGGTGCGCTCCCTGAACCCTCGGTTTTGGCAAAATGCCAAGACCTCAGTCTGGACAGATCTCTGCCAGGACTCCCGGATCGCCATGCTGGTGCGCGAGGGCAAGGCCTGCGGTGGGATCTTGGCACGAGGATGTTCCCAGCAATGCTCGACGGCTCCACCCTGCTGAGCCAAGTCCAGTGATTCGATTGAGAACCTGTTCGCAATGACCGCAAAGTTGTCGGGAACAACCATGCCAAAGCCAGCAGCGTACCCTTTTGCACGATGCCGGCGCGAGGATGGGTTTCAGAAGATCCAAGCAGGTCCTGCCTGCTGCGTTCCTCCCGTCAGGTCGAGGCCGCGCTGACCTTGGCGTTGGCCTGAGGTCTCACGCACGCTCAAGGTTCTGGGGATCCATTTGTTGCGGCTTTCGTCAATTGGGTGTGGGTCAAAAAATTACACCACCAGGGGGCCGCAGACTCTCGTCCTTGGTTCCATTTACCATTTGGTTCCATGGGTTCCCCCATGTTTGACTCACAGCCAATGGTCCTTTTTGGGCGGGGGTTCCCCGGCGATGGAGATCCACCTGAGGCCTTGGATCTGAAGCGCCCGGGCCAAATGCGGCAGATCCTGCTGGCCGGCTCCTCGGGTAAAATGCGCCTGGGTCGGATCTGAGTAGAAACTCCGCGGAGTAAGAACCACCAAATCCATGCTTTGTAGTGGGATCTCCGTTTGGTGGACCTGTGGGTTTCGTGTGAATTTGGGGAGGGGAGACCACTTGGGATTGGGCGTCCCATCCCTTTGCGGCTTTTTAGAGGAGCGTGGGACGGGGCCAACGGACTGAGGACCACACCATGGACATGGTGGGCAGGAGCATGTTCTTGAAAGCCAGGCGCCCAGAGTGTGAGGTGGGGGGCCCGAGGTTTGCAATTTGCCGGCGCCGTTCTGCGCGGAAGCCGTCGCTCGCCCTAAGGTTGAGCAAGAGGGACAAGAGGCCGCGGAAGCTTCGCCGGCCGCGGGGAAGCGCAAGGGTGGGGGATCTCAGGCCGTGCGTTGGCCGAAGACGCATCGTCACGCAGATGTGTTGGAGTGTCATCAGAGGATCTCCGGGAGCAAAAAAAGAAACTGTTGGCATGCTCTGTGACAAGGTGAAGGCCAGGGTATATGGATGTGAATGATTTAGGCCCAAAGAAGAATGGCAAGCGCAACAAGCTGGCTGCCGAGAACAAAGTGGGGCACTTGGGCAGGTTGTTGAGCGAGTGATGGGCGACCCGAAGTCATACGACTTTGGTTGAGCATGGCAGCGCTTCTGAGAGAGTGTCTACCTGCCTGGAGCCGCAAAGAGTACATTGTATGACATTTATTCAACTGGTAGATGCCCCTGGGGAAAGACTTGCGGAACCAGCATGCAGCATGAACTATTCGCGCAGGCTCAGGGTCCAGCCATGCCCGACTACATATTGACTGCACCACCTTCCTAGAACCAAACCGCAGGGGACTTTTGTTAGTGCTCCGGACTTCCGTGCAGCATGGTGAGACGCGCTCAGGCGAATGGCGTCAATGGGGACGAGGACCGCGCCCGCGCGACCGGCGGGACTCGTGGCTGGTTTTTGCCAAAGCTCCGCGCTGTGCCAGGCAGAGGCTGACTCCATTGACCTGCGCAGATGGGTACACCGGTGCGATGTTTTGTGAAGCCGTGCAGTTGACACTCAGAGCAACTCAGCAGAGGGCAGGGCGTTGGCGTTGGCATTGCTTTTTTGATGTGATGGGTTATGAACTTGTCAAAGCGTCCTGTGGTGCTGCGTGCCAGTTTTGGGAAGTGCCACATCCCCAAGAGTCGAAAGCAGCCGGTGTAAACCACGTCCACCAAGAGCGGCCAATTGAAATTCATTGCGAGCAACGGTCAATACTTCTGGTATCTCAGTGGAGAAAGAATTGCATGTGGCTTTTACCGGGGGGGTACTCACCGGAACACCTTTGCCAGTTGGGGCACGCCATGAGAAACGAAGCCGACGGCCTTGACGTTCGCCAGGTGCTCAGCTTGAGTGCGGAGCAGCTCGAGCGGCGCGGATCTCGGATATCTCGGATCCCGATCCGCCGGACGCCGCACCGGACTCGTCGGACTTTTATTTTTGGAACCGCGTTGAGCCCAGTGCAGCGTTTGCTTGATTGAACGTGTTGATCTTCCCTCTTGCTGTGAAAGAGCCGAAGCTGAAGCACTATCCGAGTCTGAAACGTGAGGCATGAGGCTTTAAAGAGGCTCCAAATTGTTATTCTCATCTCATGTGCCCTACTTTACGCATGTTTTTTCTTACCTTCCCCCTCCCCCCCCTTCCTGAACACCCCCCCTCTTGATGGCACGGTGCACATGGTGTGATGGTCCAACCACCCGCCGCACGGAGCCGAGGCTGGTGGAGCTGCTGGAGCAATGGAACTCGAACCGCCGGATGGCGCCGATGGCCCGGAAGCCCGGAAGGTCGTTTTGCGCGTGGGGCACCAACCCTTGGTCGGTTGCAAAGGGACCCCAAGAGAATCGCCCACCATTTTGGGATTTTGGGGAGTCGGTTGCGAATGCAAGTCCTCCTGGCGTGGGTTGTTTGTGGCGACTGTGCAGCCAGTCCAGACGCTTGCTCCGGTCGGCCGGGGAGCCTCGGACAGTGCCGAGAGTATCGGAGCAGCTTAGGCGCAGATGCTGTTCGCCATGCTCCTACTCTCTGCCTGGCGCCTGACATCTAAAAATGGGCCGCAGAGCCGAAAGGCAAGGAAGCCACCTCCAAATCCGGGAACTTTCATGGAACCTTTTTGGAGGTTTTCCTCCATCTTCCCTAAAGAGAGCCAACGAAGGTGCCCACAAAGATCTGCCATGTGCTCTAGGTCCCGGGCAGCAAGCTAAAGGCTATGGAAGGCCCGAAACTTGGCGGGAGCCATTGTCCACGCCTCTGCTTGGCTTCCTTCTGGTTTCAAACCCAAGACATGACCATGGTTTCCCCTGTTTGAGGGGGTGCCATGAAAAAGACCTGCCCAAACGATGCTTCTGATTTCCAAGGTGCTGCGGATGTCATCACGTTTTCTTGTTCACGCGCCTGTCACGGATGACAGGCATGAACGCCACCTGCGCCAACGTGCTGTCGTATGCCAGCCGGCACATGTCGCGTGTGGATTCGCTGCTGCAGAAGATGCTCGGACGGCACGCAATCATCTGAACGCGGGCTTTCCGTTGTATGGCCTGCTAAAACCGCTAGCATATGCTCATCAGTTTTATTTGCTTCCGCAGTGGGCACTGTCACTTGATGTTTGGCACGTTCAACTTCATGGAGTTTGGTCACCAAGGACCTTCCTCTTCGACTTGATCCTGCAGACTGGCCAGGGTTTGGCTCCCCAGGCGCTCGGGGCTGCTCTCAGGGCATTCGACATTTTAACAACTGCTTGAAGCAAGTCATCTGCAAAAAAGGAGCCCTCGCACATCTCGAGCGCATGTTGTATGAGCTACTTTCCTGGCCTTGGCCAGCCCAGAAGTCGCGTGCCATGCTTGCGTTCGATACTCCCAAAATGGCCATGCAGAGAGAACTCCCGTTCATCCACTTCCCAACCTGCTGCCTTCAGAAACGAATGGCAGGCAGAATAAAATGACGCCACCTCTGCAGGGAGCTTGTGTTTTCCCCCTGCAGGCCTTTTTCGGGGGGCATCCCATTTGAACCTTCCCTTGTTCGATGTTTCCACACGGGCGCCAGGAGAGCGAGGGCGACTCCTCCGAGGCAGGACATTTCTTTTTGTTCTGGTGTTCAGGGATTGTTGTTTTATGTGCGAATTGGCTAAGAGTGTGAACATGTGCAGATGCTGGGCTCATAAGCCAACTTGCCGAAAAGCTTGGACTCTGCTTGAGTCTGTCGCTGGAAGCCAACGCCCCTGAAGTCAGCATATTGTAAGAAATCCTTTTTGAGGAACGCGCCACAGGTGCTGATTTGCTTCGTGCCTTGAGTAGAGCCCCCACGCCTCCGAATGTACGGTTTGGATAGTGCATAATGCCTGCGGCAGACCCCCCTCCAACCCCCTCCCCGCCCCCACTGCATCCGGGCGAGTCCGGAGAGCAAACACGGGAAGGCGCTCAAGGCTATGCAACCGCCGTGGATTGCTGGTGTTGGGAAGCGGCAATCTTCAGCAGCAGACCTCATGTTGGGGTCGACTGAACTATTGCCCATAGGCGCTGAAGCGGACCATGGCCGTGTTGCTGGGGGAGGACTGAGAGGGGAGATGGATCGAACGGTTGGAGGGTCCCTCAAAGAGACTCCATGCGAAATGAACCTCCAATGGCAATGGAAGGCCCTTGCTCTCCTGAGCCGATGCAGGAGGAGGTGGAAGATGACCAGGAAGAAGCGGAGGCAGAGGCAGTGCATCGGATGACAAGCTATATGAACTGGATATGGCTCAAAATTAAACCACCAGGGCACCGCAGGTTTTAGTCCAAGTTTCCATTTACCAGGGTTCCATTTTTAGGTTACCCTATTTTTGACCCACAACCAACTATTTTGGGCTGCCCGGTGGGGCTCACGTTCTTGCTTTTGAGTGGTACCTGCGCGCCTTTGTGCAGGATGAGCTTGCGGATGAGCCTCCGGAGGACAGACGGTCGAGGGAGAGACTTAGTATAGTTGGGGATCCTTGGAGGTGGCCATTACTTTTTTTCTTCTCGGGGAAGAAGAAGATGAACCAGGCCTAGAATATGGCAACTTGTGAACATTGTCCATTGAACGGCTGGTTACTTGACCGGCCTTGTTTGAGTTTTGATGGCGGCGCCAGAAAGGCAAGCCAACCTACGAGCACCTTCGGACCATGTCATGGGCGAATTTCGTTCACCGGACGGCTGGGAAGGATGATGACACCGAGGAGGAGAAGGCTCGCGGAGGGCCAGCAGCTTGACCCGGCCCTTGATCCCAAAACTTGTCTGAGCAGCCCAGCCTTGCGCGCTTGCGGTGCTGGGCCACAAAGTTGTCTCCAGCCGAAGGAGACAAAGGGGCAAGCAAAGAGGAGGACACCGCGCCTCGCGATGTCGCTTCGGGCCCCGAAAAGGGCAGTGTCGAAGTCTAACGGCCAGACTGCATGAATCCCTTCTGCACGTACTGAGTTTTTTTTAGTGATCGTTACAGTATTTCTTTCTTTCCAATAATCGCAATTCCCCCCACTCTTCGTCATTCTATTTCTTGCTAGCTAAGGCCTGCCAGTTTGCGTCTGGGGCAGTTTAGGGGTTGGGGTCATCCCGGGCCTAGCAAGTTGGGTGGAAATTCGACAGAGCCTTTGGTGGTTGTCTGATTCGATGTTGGCCGCGCCACGCTGTCTTGGCCACTCACATGGCTGTGGGTCAAAACCAATGGCACCATTTTGGGGTAGGTGAATTCACCACCCATTTTAGAACCTATTTTGGTGGGGATTGGGATGTACACTGGGGGTACGGGATTTTCACCCATGGCCACATGCCCACTTTCTGGGATTTTGCACTTGGGAAGACGAATTCCAAGCTTCTGTCGCGCGGTTGCTTGGAGGAAGACGCAGTGAGCGGACCTCAGGCCGGAGCTCCCTTGGGCAATGTTGTGTTTGATACCTTTCGAGTCTTCGCTGGGAGTTTACGGGCGTTTTTGTTCCCTCTCCCACACCCGGGCTTGTTTGGTGTATCGCAGACACCGGCCGTGCCAGGCCTGTGTGAGCAAGCTTTGTGCTCCACCTTAAGCCTCGTGCTGTGAGGGCAGGGCAACCGAGCATCAGTTGGGGTTGGACACGTGCCACGGGGTGAGCCCCCACGTGAGACTCACTGAAGCACGTAGATCACATAACTCTCACGTGAGTCAAGAGCTAGGTTTGCCCTGCCGTCGAAGCAGCGAGCATGGACGCAAGCATTCGTTGAAAAAGGATTCTGTGTGCTCCTGATAAAGCTGTCGCTTTTGTCGACATTTGTTTTTGCACCACAAGGCTTAGGTCTCGCCGGGGAGAGAGGAGCGGATCAACCGAGGTGGGTGAACATTGCTCCGCCAAGGGGCCTGACAACACACACCGCAAAGGCAGTGGAATGATTGCCGCAATATGGCTCCAGTGAGATTCAAGGCAAACCAGAGCAAAACTGGAGGGCCATTTCATTAGCAAGGTCTGTCAACAAGGTGACGATGCAGAAGATTTGGCGAGCTAGCCATCGGATCAATCTGTTATCCTGAACATTAACTTCTCCTCCAGGACCAGTCATCCTAGCAAAGAGTTGTTTGGACATGGAAGGGGCGTGCTGCAGAGCTGAACATGACCAACTTCAATCGTCACTAAATCGACTTCTCCTGCTCTCTTTTGCTCAGAGAGGCCTTGTCTTCCAAAGGACCACGGCCGAAAACATGCAGCGACTTAGATTGCGAGAGTGTCAGACATGTCAAATGTGCTTTGGCTCGGTCAGCTCAATGTGCCATGTAGGATATCTCCAAGCGCACCGGGCGCATCTTCGGGCCATAGCAGGCAAAGTGTGCGTTGCTTGGACACGTGACCTCAGGCAGTCCAGGTGTGTGTGTTTGGGTTGGTGTTTGTCTAAGCGTGCGACGCAATTCACACAACGATTGCATTGCAGGAAGGAGCTGCTTTTGAATTTTGAAATGCCAGTTGAGAGAATTTGAAGATTTGAGGATTTGAGATGGTGAGACGCATGGCATGCTGGCAGCCTTTGAGATCTTGCGTCCTTGGCCTTGCCGCTCTGCCAGCATGCTTCGCGGTCTCAGCTTGATAGCTGTGAGCCGGGCGCTCGCGGACGAGTTGAAGAGCTCGGATGTCACGGCCACATGCCTGCTGAAGGGCTGGGCAGATGAGTCACAGTGCAGCGAGATCGTGAAGTACTCCGAGGATTGCTTCTCTTGGAATCCCATCAACACCGCCAACGTGGGCAGCCTGTCGGCATCCCTGGGCGATGCCACCACTTGCGTGACCTACAACCTGGAGCAGCGCTGGGGTTGGGCCCCGGACGTCTCCAGCAGAGGCTCCAATACCGGCGGGCCCTACGACGCCTATGGGCAGGGCACAACTGTCATCGGGGTGGACACGCCCTCGGGGAAGTGGCAGTACGCGCTCACCGAAGGTGCCCAAGGCTCCAATGGCGGCTCCGGCGGAGGATTTGGGGGTGGCTTTAGCGGTGGCTCCAACGGTGGCTCAGGTGGAGGATTTGGCGGAGGCTCCAACGGCGGCTCTGGCGGAGGATTTGGTCGCCTTCGCAAAGTTAACTGCCCCCCTGGCCAAAAGGAATGTGGCCAGTCCAACGGCGGCTCCGGTGGAGGCGTTGGTGGAGGCTCCAGCTCCAACGGCGGCTCTGGGGGAGGAGTTGGCGGTGGCTCCAGCTCCAACGGCGGCTCTGGCGGAGGAGTTGGCGGTGGCTCCAACTGTCCTCCTGGCCAGAAGGAATGTGGCCAGTCCAACGGTGGCTCTGGTGGAGGAGTTGGCGGTGGCTCCAGCTCCAACGGCGGCTCTGGTGGAGGAGTTGGCGGAGGCTCCAGCTCCAACGGCGGCTCTGGTGGAGGATTTGGTCGCCTTCGCAAAGTTAACTGCCCCCCTGGCCAAAAGGAATGTGGCCAGTCCAACGGCGGCTCCGGTGGAGGCGTTGGTGGAGGCTCCAGCTCCAACGGCGGCTCTGGCGGAGGAGTTGGCGGTGGCTCGAACTGTCCTCCTGGCCAAAAGGAATGTGGCCAGTCCAACGGTGGCTCTGGTGGCGGAGTTGGTGGAGGCTCCAGCTCCAACGGCGGCTCTGGTGGAGGAGTTGGCGGTGGCTCCAGCTCCAACGGCGGCTCTGGGGGAGGAGTTGGCGGTGGCTCCAACTGTCCTCCTGGCCAGAAGGAATGTGGCCAGTCCAACGGTGGCTCTGGTGGAGGAGTTGGCGGAGGCTCCAGCAGCTCCAACGGCGGCTCTGGTGGAGGATTTGGTCGCCTTCGCAAAGTTAACTGCCCCCCTGGCCAAAAGGAATGTGGCCAGTCCAATGGTGGCTCCGGTGGAGGCGTTGGTGGAGGCTCCAGCTCCAACGGCGGCTCTGGCGGAGGAGTTGGCGGTGGCTCGAACTGTCCTCCTGGCCAAAAGGAATGTGGCCAGTCCAATGGTGGCTCTGGTGGCGGAGTTGGTGGAGGCTCCAGCTCCAACGGCGGCTCTGGTGGAGGAGTTGGCGGCGGCTCCAGCTCCAACGGCGGCTCTGGGGGAGGAGTTGGCGGTGGCTCCAACTGTCCTCCTGGCCAGAAGGAATGTGGCCAGTCCAACGGTGGCTCTGGTGGAGGAGTTGGCGGAGGCTCCAGCAGCTCCAACGGCGGCTCTGGTGGAGGATTTGGTCGCCTTCGCAAAGTTAACTGCCCCCCTGGCCAAAAGGAATGTGGCCAGTCCAATGGTGGCTCTGGTGGAGGAGTTGGTGGAGGCTCCAGCTCCAACGGCGGCTCTGGTGGAGGATTCGGCGGTGGCTCCAACTGTCCTCCTGGCCAGAAAGAATGTGGCCAGTCTAACGGTGGCTCTGGTGGAGGAGTTGGCGGAGGCTCCAGCAGCTCCAACGGCGGCGCTGGTGGAGGATTTGGTGGAGGCTCTCTGTTGCGCAAGGGCCGCTGCAATGGACATGGAAACTGCAATGCACACGGCCAGAACAATGGCCACAACAATGGTCACAACAATGGTCACAACAATGGCCACAACAATGGCCACAACAATGGCCACAACAATGGTAACCATGGTGGCCAGTCCAGCGGCGGCTCCGGCGGAGGATTTGGGGGTGGCTCCAGCGGTGGCTCCAACGGTGGCTCTGGTGGAGGAGTTGGCGGAGGCTCCAGCGGTGGCACAGGTGGAGGATTTGGCGGAGGCTCCAGCTCCAACGGCGGCTCTGGCGGAGGATTTGGTCGCCTTCGCAAAGTTAACTGCCCCCCTGGCCAAAAGGAATGTGGCCAGTCCAACGGCGGCTCCGGTGGAGGCGTTGGTGGAGGCTCCAGCTCCAACGGCGGCGCTGGTGGAGGAGTTGGCGGTGGCTCCAGCTCCAACGGCGGCTCTGGGGGAGGAGTTGGCGGTGGCTCCAACTGTCCTCCTGGCCAGAAGGAATGTAGCCAGTCCAACGGTGGCTCTGGTGGAGGAGTTGGCGGAGGCTCCAGCAGCTCCAACGGCGGCTCTGGTGGAGGATTTGGTCGCCTTCGCAAAGTTAACTGCCCCCCTGGCCAAAAGGAATGTGGCCAGTCCAACGGCGGCTCCGGTGGAGGCGTTGGTGGAGGCTCCAGCTCCAACGGCGGCTCTGGCGGAGGAGTTGGCGGTGGCTCGAACTGTCCTCCTGGCCAAAAGGAATGTGGCCAGTCCAATGGTGGTTCTGGTGGAGGAGTTGGTGGAGGCTCCAGCTCCAACGGCGGCTCTGGTGGAGGAGTTGGCGGCGGCTCCAGCTCCAACGGCGGCTCTGGGGGAGGATTTGGCGGTGGCTCCAACTGTCCTCCTGGCCAGAAGGAATGTGGCCAGTCCAACGGTGGCTCTGGTGGAGGAGTTGGCGGAGGCTCCAGCAGCTCCAACGGCGGCTCTGGCGGAGGAGTTGGCGGTGGCTCCACAGACATTTACTATCCATGAGCAGGACAAACTGCTACAGCACATGTGCCACTGTTGCAATCACGGACACTTTCTGCCAGCCTGTTTGTTGCTTTTGGGCCGAGTGTTGGCCCCAAGCAGAAGCTTGTTTGAGCTTGCAAAGCAGAGTGTCAGCGTGGTGTGGCATCAGCGCACAATTTAGATCTTGAAGGCTTGATTCTGCCATCTAATTCACGGTTTCCATCCAAGCAGAGCACAGGTGGCTTTGGCTTGGCTTATTGCCTTTACCCCTCGCAAGAAGGGGATTGGCGCTGGTTTTGCGTCCCTGGGTTTTTCATCCCTGGGATGATGTCTACATGCTAGCTTGTGCCTACGGGCTGTTTGCTCAGCTCTGCACAGTCTGCACCGATCGGCGGCAATAGTCCGCGCTACCGTACTTGTAGCAGCGAAAAGGCTCAAGTCAGGGATGGAGAGACGAAAGCAGTGGCTCAGTTTGTGGAGACTCGTGAGGGCAGGTTTTCTCTTAGAATTGCAACTCTTGGGAATCTGATCTGGTCAGGGCAAGACTGCCGATGCAGAACGCGGCAGCGTCGTGGCACGCGCTCGCCTCGGATTGCGGGGCCAGCTTGTCTCGCGGTTTCTCAGCCACAGCTTCGTCACAGTTTTCTCCACTTTCACAGCCTGACATAGTGCCAGGAAAGGCAACGGTTTGCAGCCACAAGTAGCTCAGTACCTCGTTGGCTCAGCAAATCATCCAGCTGACTCTGATTGAACCCCCTAGCCTTGCGACTTGCCCAGTCCCGGCCCGTGCCACATGCAGAAGAAGAAGAAGAAGAAGAAGAAGAAGAAGAAGAAATATGCGCATCTGCGCCAGGTATACTAAGCTCAACAGATGCAACACGATTCAGGAATTGCTGAACTCAGCACTTCTGTCACTGCGTTGCGATTCTTGCCGCTTTCAGGCTTGTTGTGGGCAGATGGCGTGCCCAGCTCAGTCTGCAAAGTAAGCTGCTGAGATTTCCCGGAACAATGGACTGTTTGCTAACAACATGCAAACGATTTGACCATGTTCTGCAGTCACCAGCTATCACCAGCTTCTTGTCCATATTGTTTTTGGCCGGTGGAGGGGAGGGGGGTTTGGGGGGGAGGGGGGGTGGCAACAACGTTGACCGGGTTCTTGGGGCTGGCTGGCTCAGATTCGCGTGGGCAAGGCTCTGCAGATGGTTTTGGGGACCAATAAGTTGTTGGATGACCAGGATGGCTTTAGGCCACTTTGGGGCATTTGGGGCATTTGGGGAGCAGAAGGTTGTAAAAAGGGAAAGTGCATGGACTTGTTCAGCTCTGAAGATCGGATGAATTGCAACGACCATGCAGAACGTTTTGTGCCGGATGGTTTTGCAAGGGGCCTTTGCCTTTCAGAGCTCAGCTGCCATGTGCCCGAGGCAGCGGCGATTTCGATGTCCGCGGGGAAAAAGCGGGGGGGGGGGGGGCTGCTTGAATTCGGAGCATTTGGAGGGCGTGGGGAGTTGGGGTTGGTGAAGCATTGTCACACCATGGTTCCCGGTCATTGCTCCGGTTGAGGGGAGCAATATCTGGGCATCGGGTGCGCGATCCTTTCCGATCCGCGATCCGGGCATGCGCATGCATCGAAGTTGCCGTCGACGAGTCGTCTGTAGGTTTTCGCGGCCAGGGTTCCCGTAGGGAGCAAGTCCCATTTGGCCGCAGACTGCCCGTGCTCAGGTAGCGCGTGTAGCGCTGAAGGCCTAGTGGGAGTCCAGCGTGAACAAGCATATGGCCATCCAGCATTCTTACCATCCCCAGCGACACAAAAAGGCAGAGGATCTGATTTCACAAGAGGCCGAGATCCTGCTTTTGCGAGCCATGCTTCAAGTGAGCGCGCTCAAACCGATCGCACTGCAGCGTTGCGGTGCCAGTCGGGGTGTCAGCCAGGACCCTGAGGCAGGACTTGCATCGCTGGCCCCAGGTTTTGTACTGCCCCATCCTTGAGTCCAACAGATTTGACGGAAATCGCATGAAGTGCATCCTGCCCATTTCACCATATGAAACCCCGTACCCCAGTGAACATCCGATTCAATCCCCACTAAAATAGACTAAAAAATGGGTGGTGAATTCACCTGCCCCAAAATGGTACCATTGGTGTTGACCCACGGCCATATAGAACCGTACCTAGCATTGCGCTCAGACAATCTGACGCCGCCCTCTCAAGCCCTGTGCAGGCACGGCGCAGAGCCGACGGCAGATACAATCCCATTGCAGCATCAGGCTCACCTGTGCGTTAACCTGCCTTTTGTCGGGGGCTGTGCCGGACGTGCGAGTATGACTTGAACGAGCTTCTGAGCTGTTTTTTGAAATGCTATCTTGCCTTGCCTCCATCCTGTTCTTTCACTAGAATCGAAGCATCTGCAACATGCCGATTCTGAAGGTTTATTCCAATTCCAATCCTGGCTGAGTGTTTTGCTGAGCGTTTCGTCATTCGGTTAATGTCATGCTTATTTTAAAGTCCGGATGGGCCGAGAGCCCCTCATCAACAGGCGGAAGGTGTTCTCCATTAGGCCAGTTCTAGAAGCTTTTCCTCAATGAGTTTCCTCCGACAGCAGGCGAAATTTCAGATATCCTTTCTTGAGGCCTTCTTCTTGAAGACGTTAATTGAAGCCTGGGCTTGATTTGTTTCTCCTCCAGACCGAGTTATGCTCATTCTGAGCCATGCCTTCGCAGTGCACCACGGCGAGCCCGTACTTCGTCCTTCACACAGGTTCCGCATCTTTCTCCGTCAAATCACCAGCTGATGTTCTACTTTGGACATCAAGGGAACCTTTTGCTTTCCAGTGAATGAGAGAGAATCTCCTAAGAGCCTCAAAGCCGAGATTATTGCAAAGTTTGTCTCCACCCGACACCTCAGCGTTCCCGTTGCCCGAAGGCCCTCGAAGCGGTCTGGCCGCTTTGACTGCAGCCCGGGACCCCGGGGTGAACTTAGCCCGATGCTTTGGAACATGGGCATGGCTCAAAAAGGACAAAGCTGGGGTGGTGCCATGTTTTCGTCTTTGTTTCAAATTCCCAGGTTCCATGTTGGGTACCGTCTTGTTGAGCAACCATAAATGAGCCATTTGGTCCCTTCACGTCCCTTGTCCCTTTGTTTTGCATCCCGGAGTCCGAGCACTTTCAAGGGAGCTGTGGCCATCGCCAGCTCCTCACTTCACCTTCGCCAGATCGGGGTGCCAAGGTTGCGATCTGAAAATCGCTGCTCCATCATTCTAGGGGTTGATTCCTTGTCCATTCTTTTCAACCATCATTCTTTTTAAAAACCGATCGCTGTTTCCAACCTGAAATTCTGATGGTTTTCTGAAAAGAAGGATCCCTGGAAAGAATGGGGAAGTGTCCCCTAGAATCATCAAGTGTGCGCCATCCCTCGAACCTGCCTTCGGGTGAATCATGATGACCTAAGCCATGGCAGTGCCATGGCTTGTCTTCAGGCAGCCAGATTCCCCAGGGATCCCATCCCGGCCTCGCCTTATGCCGAGGTTCACCATATATCTGTTGGGCGCAACAACGAACTGGCTCGTGGCATCTGCCAACAGAGTGCACGGCACGCGATTCTTGGACTTTTAGAGCTGTTGTTTGTACAAAGGAACAGTTGGCAGTTTTGAGGCCATGCACGGTCCGGGGTGCTTGAACTTACATGTCCAGCCTCTATCCTCAAAACACGTGCTGTGGGAAAGGGCTTTGCTTTGTGGACCCTTTGGAGCAGCTTGTGGCCAGTGGGGTTCTAGAACCCATGTTGCAACATGGTCGAAGTGAGATTCTATGTATTCCAACCATCCGGTACCAAGCGTCAATGCTTGCTGGGCGCTCATGGGACCAACCATTTGGAGTTACCACAGGCGGCGGTTGCACAGCGGCGATTTTGGCGCAGCGATGCGAGGCGCCTTTGGCCGTTTCCGATGTCAATGACTTGCCAGCCATCAGCCTCGCCCAAGCTTTCTTTTTAGCGGCACCTTCCCTAGTGTGTGTGTGTGTGTGTGTGGGTGTGTGTAGGGAGACGGGTTCGAACAATTAGAGAAAGACTCTCTCAAAGTTGTTGCTGTGGATGTGGCAGGGTCTAGGCTACGGTGTATCAAAAGCGCAGCTTGCTTCGTGATTCTGTTCAGGATGGGGGCATGCCTGACGCTCAAAGATTCTTAGCCTATTTGATGTGTAAGTTTGCAGAGTATCCGCCAGGCGCCGCGAAAAGCACGTGAGGGGGCAGTCGTCCCGTGTGGTGGAGGCGCAAGTTTGGACCAGGTGAGTTAGTGAGTAGACAGGTCCGCAAGGACGACTTTGTGGTTTTTCCAGCACAATCTAATAAAATAGTGCCTTGAGCTTCCATGGCCTGGTTTCCACCGGTCTGTTCATTGTTGCAATCCTTATTTATTTGATACTAGCTGTCAAAATTGCAACAAGGCGCAGATGGATGCCTTGTGCCTTCCCAATGGGACATGTATGCTGGCATGACCCTTTCCAGGAGCCATTGGATATGGGACTGGGATCTGACCTTGTCGTGAAGGCCTGTGGGGGGAGGAGTATCCAAGGTCCGGTTGGCGAATTGTGGAGAGCAGTTGGCATACGACGAGTCTAAGCAATACCACACTTTAGGATGTGTCGTGTGGTAGGCTCATTGCATAGGGAATGTGAGCACGGGAAACTACATATGCAGCATCATATGCATATTAGACACAGTATATAAAGATATATGCTCATATACATGTGAGTGGCGGTTTATTTTTCCGCTCAAGCAAACATGTATATATAGATGTTGACATATCAACAAACATATGGCGCCGCGCTGCAGTCGCGGAAGGCTCGCAAAAGGTTTGCGGAAGGTGTGTGTTTTTGTTTGTTTTCCCTTTCCGCGGAAGCTCGCGGAAGCCTTTTGATTTGCCCATTGTACTTTGATTTCGGTTGGGTGGTTGTTGCCAAGCACGTTTACTAGCAGACCATACGTACGAATTCCCTCGCGGAAGCTACCTTCCTCGGTTTCCAGAAGCAACTTGCCTGAGGAAGGCCCGCGGAAGCACTTATACAAACTTATGTAGAAACATGCTCGCGGAAGGTACCCTTCGCAGCGCGGAAGCTTCGCGGACGGTTTCGCGGAGGGGTTTGATACGTCAATGCAAATTTAAAGGGAATAACCACCGCTCATGTAGATACGCAAGCTCCGGAGCTCCAGCTCTTTGGCGCGAAAACCGCACACTTTCTTCGGGGAGGGAGCAGCGACCCAGGGTTCAAAGGGCAATCCTCGGGGCTCGGGCATGAGCTGACTTGCCAACATGAGAAAAACAAGCGACACGAAGAGCATGGTTCGACGGTTGCTTTGCCCGGGCCGGGGCAACGAGAACAGTACTCATACCATGAGCACTGATTTTTCTTGGGAACCACACGGAATTTGTAGCAGAGAACGCCATGCCGTTGAGCAAGCCTCGTCGCCGCTTTGTGTCCGTGGCTGCGCTTGTGCTTGGAGGATCGCTCCAGCGCACATTTTCTGCGCCACGGCTTCTGGTGGTTTTGGACCTGGATGAGACTTTGCTCCATGCGACTCTCTGCAAAGTAGATGAGGACTTGAGCTGGCTGCCTGCCCGCGTGTGGCAGCCGCGAGTAGACTTCGAGGCGAAGGGCAAAGGGTTGGTCCTCGGGTTGGACGAGGAGATACCTTTGTTCGTCTCCCTGCGCCCAGGAGCTGAGGAGTTCCTGGAATGGCTGAAAAGCGCGGATGTGGATGTTGCTGTGTACACTGCAGGAACGGAGCCCTATGCAAAGCAGAGCGTGGTCAAACTGGCCCTGGACAAGTATCCCTCCCTTTTTCGCGACGAGTGCGTGCCCTTCGGCCTGCCGATCACCAAGGACCTCACAAAGCTTCGCGAAGACCTCTCGCGGGTGGTGCTGGTGGACAATTCTAGGAGGTCCTTCTGGCTCCAGCCGGACAATGGGCTCCTGGTCAGTGACTGGGATGGCAGGAATTCCTCGGACGAGGAGCTGAAGGCGGTGAAAGCCACCCTGCTGGAGCTGCTTCAGCTGGAGGATGTGCGCCCGCACCTGCGCAGCAGGTTGCCACAGGAGGCTTCTGTAGATGTGAGACTCTTTGCAGCCGCAGCCATCTTGCTAACCGCCCTGCCGGTGCTGAATCCGTAGCGAGTGCCAGAAAAATGCACATGTTCTTCAGGACACTGTCAGTGGAGTCTGGAAGAAAGAATCACGCACTCCCAGGTGATGGGGCATTCCTTGTCAGACTGTCGATTTGGAAGGATTCCCATGTGTTCTGCGGGATGATTCGGAGACGCACTGGGCCTGCAAATTTTGGCTTTTTTGCGTGTGTCTTTTTTGGGTTTACCTTCTGTTTGGTTTCAAAGGGAACCAAGAGGAACAAGCCACCATTTTGGGGGGTCCTTTTTGAGTCAGACCCATTTCACTCATAGAAACCGATGCAAAGGGGGTTGCCTTCCTGTTGCAGGTCCCGCCATACGACCAGCGTAGGATCGGCGCCTGGAGCCTCAGAAACTGGTGATGACCGCTCGGAAACCCCACGGAATGACCTGATCCCTCGGGAAATGCCGAGAAACGGTATGGCTTCCTTCCCGTTTCTTTTTTTTCGTGGCGCGGAAAAACAACATAATAACAACATCTCCCCTGCAACTGTTCACAGAAAGCCCGGGAGTTTCCCGTTTGGTGGTTTTTGGGGTTCCATGTGGGGGACGCGCCAATGGTCATTGGACACCATTCCACAATGATGTACGCCAACAAGGTACCCAAAAAGGTGCCAGTGCAGGAACGGGACTGCTTGCTGGCTTTGCATTGAATCGAGTTGTCCGTTTTGCGGCGGTCCATTGGTGAGGTGTTCAGGGTGGAAGCCACATAGCCTACCATTTCGTCACTTGTGCTGAGTAAGCCTTGGAGCTTCGGGTTCTCGTCGAGATCTCGCCACTTGTTTTGGTCAGGTGCTGCTACTTAACATCGGCACTCCTGCATCTACAGAGGCAGGGGCAAGCATGTTCAGGTTGGACAGGATTTGTGCAGATGACAAGACGAAGGCCAAGTTGGGTAGAATGCCAGACCATGTACAACTTGCCAAGCTGTTGTTCCATGATGCCTGGCAAAGGGGCAGAATGCCAAAGTGTATTTCAACAGCCACGCCCCGTGAGGGTCCTCCCACTGAGAGAATAGAACTGGCCATGGCACCCACGGCTTCATTTTCTTAGCAGTGTTTTTGTTTTGCTGAGGTTGGAGATGTGCGGGACTATTTGGAGAGATTTCTTGCAGATGACAGAGTCATCGAGATCGAGCCAGCCCCCAAGAGCACGGCTTGGGATCTGGTGACGATGGAGAGGATACGAAATGCAATGGGGTCACCCGGGTACACATACCACTCGTATTCTAGTACCTACCTACTGGCAACCTAGTCACAAAAACGTCACAACAGACAGGAACCCAGGGACCAGGGAATGAACATGATTATGACGGCAATACCATTGCTAACATTCATAATACTAATACTCATAGTGCGGGTGATTGACATTTCCTTGGAATCAGGTTGACGTTGTTGCCATTGTTGTGGTGCACATGCGCGTTCCGAATGATCAAACACGGTCTGGTATGCCCAGACTTGACCTGCTCGTAGGCTGAAGATGAGAGCACACTTCAGTACAGTATGTCCTGAAACAAGAGCCTGGAGGCAGACAACCCTACCGGGCTACTAGATAGGTACCTAGCTAAGTACCTACTGTGACAGTAGGACCTTGCTTGGGAAGAAACAACTTGGCCTCACGTAGTTCACGTGATGGCATCCTTGCGGCACCAGACTTGTTAAACAAGTCGTAACGCTCCCTTCAATTGCTCGCTGTGGGCTGGGTACTGCTGAACTCGGGATTCACGGCGACATTGTTTAGTTCTGGTACCCGGGTATATATTGATGAACATATCCAGGTGGCTGCGAAGCTTCTCTTCTCTTTCTTTACTACCTGCACCATTTGCATTTGCTCGTTGCACAATACCGGCAGTGCACCCAGTGCTGTTGCTGCCATGGCAGTATCAGGAATCACGTTTGCTCAAACACGTGTCGAAACCCCGAGAAATGCGACCTGGCCTGTGCTACCATGTGGCTGGGACCCCCACCTGCAAAAACGGCCATTTGACCTTGCGGTCCGGAACCAACAAGTCGTAACAGAATCGACGATTCAAAACAGATCACCCAACACAAGGTGGGAAGATGCCGATTTGGCTGCATTCCAACATAACCCCAAGAATAACCTGTGATTCCGCACCTTGGTACTGGTACCCAGTTTCATGCCGCACTGTTGGTGTACACAAGCCATACTCTCCCTGCCTTGGGCACTGAGGCCGCCACTTTTGAAATGGTTTGTGCTACAGGCGTGGCAGGTAGGTTGAGCTGAGCCAAGATTTTCCTACATTTGCTTCCTTTGCGTCGTGCTTAGTGCGTTATCAAGTCGTGATGGCAGTGCCATGTAATCAAGGTGCGTGCTTGCTGCTCGCACCATGTCAAGGTGACAGGGGAAGCTGGGGAAATGGTAGGTCGATCCCTCGCAGAGGCTTCACCGGAGCAGTTCGGGGATGATTCCAATTGTGATTGGGCAAGCGAGTGGATGCTGGTGACTCTTGGAAGAGATGGCCAATTTCAAGCCCTGTGCAGGTGCTGCTGTTGACGAGGCGAGCCAATGCAATTGTCATGGCACCAAGAAACGACCTCAACTACCCCAGATGTTCACCCCAACATGCAATCCCTGCCACGACCAAACGTTACATGTCATCTGCAGAATCGGCAGCTCATGCATGAAACCGTCAACATTTTTGAGAGATGGCGAGGAGGAAGGACTTTCCCACTCTTGTCATCTCAAATCTATCTCTCTTCCACGAGCATTAGCCCCCCTTTACCATGTTGCCATGGCACCTGGCAGGGTCCCTCCAAGAGGATTTTCTGATCTTCCAGGTACTCTTTTTCCAGGTGCCACGTCAGGAAGGGTCATCGAACCGAACTCGGGATCATTCACTGGCCAGGCCCAAGAAGTCGGCCGCCAACTACAAGAAGATTTGGGCCTGGGACCTTGGATTCGGGTCCCACACACTTGGGATGTAGGGCCTGGCTCTTCGAGGGGACTCCCCCCCCCTTTTCGGCAATGCTTGGCGTTCCTTGCGGCTGTCCTGTTAAAACGAACCAACCAAGGCACCCTCAAGACACCCCCAAAGGGAGGGAGCTTTGCATTGCATTTGGGACTCTCAGAAATTGCCAACGTCAGCTCCCGCTGCAGAGGTATCTACCGCTGTTCGTTTCTGCGATGCAAGTCTGAGCACTGTTCATGCTTTTCCCACACGAAAAACACATTTTTGCCATGCAAGTTCTCCCAAACAGGTCAGGTGTTACTTTGATCTGGGACATCATTTTAAGCACGGTCCTCTACACACAAGGCTATTGTTTTGTTTTCAACAGGCATCAATGCAGAGAGAACCATTTTCACACGTTTACGATCACACACTTTGTTGAACGTTACCGTACATTTTATGTAGCGATCCAGCGATGCATCTTGAGTATCTCAGCACGCTTGGTCTTTGTGTGGTGCAACAGTCGCCGCTTCTGCTGAATTTTGCGGGTGAGGAAGATGAGATAGCAGTGCCGGAGGAGCCAGCCCAGAAATACCACCCGCAGAGCCAGACCCGCCGTGAGCACCGTGATTCAGCAGGAGGTCGAGAGCTGAAGATTTCGAAGACTCTGGTGCAGATCTTGCGGCACACAGCCCTGGAGTTTGATATCGACGTAAGACCTGATGGGTTTTGTCTTCTGCAGGAGGTCTTGGGCTGTAAGTGGCTAGCAAGCTTGAATGCCACCCAGGCTGACGTGGAGCGAATTGTGGCTGGGAACGACAAGAAACGCTTCGAGCTGAAGGAAGATGAAGGTCGATTTTTTGTACGAGCAGTGCAGGGCCATTCCATGAAGGCGGTGGATGACGACCAACTCCTTGAACATGTGACTTTGAAGAACTTGCCCGACTGCTGTGTGCATGGGACCTACCGGAAGCATTTTGAGAGCATCAAAGCCAAAGGGCTGTTGGTTGGTGGACGCCAGGGCCGAAGTTTCCGCAACCATGTGCACTTCTCGTCCTTCAAGCCTGGGGACAAGCGAGTGATCTCTGGAATGCGGTATGACTGCGATATTGGCATTTGGATCGATTTGAAGAAAGCCATCGAAGATGGTGTGCCCTTCTACATGAGCGCAAACCAAGTAATTTTAAGCCCTGGCATTGATGGAGTCGTCGACAAGAAATACTTTACCCAAGCACGAGATTTGCGGAACAAGAAGGACCTTTCCCTAGCTGGCTAGCTGTGAGCTTCTTGTGAGCTTTCTTGTGTCAAAAAGTTGTGGCTGCAGGGATGCCAGCATGAGATCAAGGTAACATCTTGTGTCGTCCAACGCTCGATGCCACTTGGTTGCTGATATTGGCAGGTTCAGAACCCCAAGAGGGCCAGCAATCAATCCGCACAGCGAAAACCATTGTGTGTGTGTGTGCGCCGATTGTTTGAGGAGGTCCATTGGCCCCTGTGCCCCTGCCAAGGAGATGATGACCTTTTGAAAGTCTAACACATTTTGCTGAACCTTCGGAAGCTGTGAAGCATGGTCCAGGGATTAGGCTGTCTATGTCAGGGGACTCCCCCCCAACAAACATATGTGTGTGTTTTCTGGTGGATTTCCTTCAAAACCAACCAACAAGGTGCCCTCAAAAAAGGACAAGCATATTACGCCACGCCTTACCCCACATGCCCTGCATTCCGCGAGGTCCTTCCCCTATCCCCTCATGTTGTTCGAGCTCCGAGGATCCGGTGCGCGGCTCCCCGCTGCTGTTTCACTCCCTTGACCTGGCCAAGGGCCTCCGGAAGGAGTGGGAAGGGCTGTGCCCAAAGTGGTCGAAGCTCTTCAATTTGCCGTTTGCGTTGGAGTGGTGTGCATGCTTGGCTGCTTGGCTGCTTGGTTGCTTGGTTGCTTGGTTGCTTGGTTGCTTGGTTGCTTGGTTGCTTGGTTGCTTGCTTGCTTGGTTGCTTGGTTGGTTGGTTGGTTGGTTGGTTGGTTGGTTGGTTGGTTCGTGAGTGAGTGAGTGAGTGAGTGAGTGTGCGTGCGTACAACGTATATATATATATATATATAGACTATGGCGTTTGCCAACGGGAGGAGCTGGGCCAGCAATACGAAGTGCGCATCGGCATGCAGTACTCCAGCCCCACAGTGGAAGAGTCGCTGCGGGACCTCGCTGAGTCTGGCGTGGACAACGTGGGCCGGGGCCCGAAGCTGCCGAAACGCCAAGAAGCCGAAACGCCGACCTGTCGATCCTTCTGTGGGGAGCGAAAAGGGAACACAAGTTCAGCCCACAGGCTGCCACATTTTTTGCCACAGTCTAATCCCTAGGTTTGGTTCAGTGTCAAAAAGATTCTTTCGCATGCCTGCACGTGCCTTTTGCTTCGAAGCTTGCCTCTCCTTGGCTCCGAAGCTTCCTCGGCGCCTGCGGCAACCGCAGGGCCGTTATCACCATGGGGCTATTACACGGATGTGCTTGGCTTCTTTGTTTCCAGGCTTTGGACAGATTATTTTGGCACAGATTTGGGACCCGCTCCAGAAACCAAGTGGCCGCAAAAGCACCAAGCTGCACATGCCGAGCCTATCGAGGAGTTGCATGTTTCAAGCCGCCCCCCCAAACCCACATTGGGTGTGTGTGTGCGGGCTGGGCTGACGGACAGGCTGCCTCAGACATTCGTCAAGCGCAACCGAGCGCGATGTATGTCAAACCTTCGACAAGAAGGATATTCCAGCCCTGGGAGCCTGAGCATAGCTAACCCAACAACAGACGGCCCTGGTCTTTGCTTAGATCAGTGCCGGGTTCCTTTTCATGTGCCAATCCAATTGTATTTTTCTCAGAAGGACAGTTTGGTTGGTCAGTGTTGTCACGAGTCGTATTGGAATTTGAATCCATCGAGCTCCACGGGCTGATGCCTTGAGCCATGGAGTCGGTGCGGCGCATCGTGCAGCTGGAGGAGTCGGTGATCAATCGCATCGCCGCGGGGGAGGCGCCTGCTTTTGGTTGGGGGGGGAGCGGGGACTCCCGGGGCTTGATAGGCCGGTTTCATGGGAAAACCCATTTTTCCCCGTCTTTCCCGGGAGGAGGGCGGGGGAGAACTCCCCGGGATTGCGGCATGCCTTCCTTTTGGGGGACCACGTATGGAAGGAACGCCGGAAGGACACGCTGCATTTTCTGGCGTGACCTAAACCCATTTTGAGACAGGTGGTGGTGCGCCCAGCCAACGCCCTCAAGGAGCTCATTGAGAACTGCCTGGATGCGGGCAGCCGGAGCGTGGCCATCATGGTCAAGGCGATGGTCCTGGGATCCTGTGGTTGTATGCCCTTCAAGTGGTAAATCCTTGTGGAATCGTGGTTGAAGTGGGTGGTGACAGGATGTTTCAGAGATTTCTGGGGTCAATCCGTGCGAGGAATCCTGTTGGCGGGTCAATCATGTTGCATGGACATAATATGAGGCAGGCGTTCAGTCAGGAAGATTGGGTGTTCGGGTTTCCTGTTTGGGGATGCAGGTAAGTCGCCAAGTTGCCCTTCCGAGTCTTGCCTTCGTGGCTTTCATGGGGAATCACAAGAGGATGGACATGTGGCTGTGGGTCAAAACCAACGGTATCATTTTGGGGTATGTGCACCGCCCATTTTAGTGGATGTTCACTGGGGGTACGGGATTTTGACCCATGGCCATGTATTCCTTGAATGAAGATACGCACATGCCAACGTGCGACAAAGCCCGTCAGGCCGGGGGCTTGAAGATGCTCCGCATCGAGGACGACGGCCACGGGATCCGCAGCGAGGACCTGCCGATTCTGTGCGAGCGCTTCACCACCTCGAAGCTCCAAAAGTACGAGGACCTGCAGGCGGATCGTTACGGCCGTTTGGGCCGTTTGGGGCCGTGGGGTTTCGGCGGGTTTGTCTGTCCAGTTGGCTGCGGGAGCTGGAGACTTGGGACTGTTCAGTGTCCGCAGTATCGCTTGCTCGTTGAGCCTCGCATCCGAATCCAGCTTATTTTAGGTTTGCCGTCCTTACCACCAATATTGGTTGGTTAGTAAAGGTATGTTGGGGCCCCCTTTCCCTGGTAAGCCTGGTATGGCTGGACCTACGGACCTACGGACCTACGGGCGCTTTCGCTCGCGAAGCGATGCAGGGCATCGGCACCTTCGGCTTCCGCGGGGAGGCCTTGGCCTCCATCAGCCACGTGGCGCAGATCACGGTGACCACCATGACGGAGAGCAGCCAGGCGGGGGACCCAGGCGTGGCTTTTTTTTGTCTCTCCCAACAGCGGAAAGCTTTAGGGGTCTCAGCCCAGATAGAGCACTAAGAAGAGCGCCGCATGCTGTTGGGGATATCACCTGAGCTAGAGGGATCTGTTTGGGGAAGAGCAATTTTGGATTCCGCTTGGGGTTGTCTCAACTTGACTGTTGAACGGATCAAGTGGTTGTTTTTTTTGTTGGCTCTGTTCATGTTCAGTAGGGGCTGCCGAGACAACAAAGTACGTTGCTTGTTTTCTTTACACGAGCTGGTTTGAAAAGGTGACTCTCTGGACATGGCCAGGTGGCGAGCATGGCCCAGTACAGCGAGGGCCACCTGGTGGGGCCCGTGCGGCCCTGCGCCGGCACCAAGGGCACCACCATCGTGGTGGAGAACATGTTCTACAACAACCCCACACGCAAGCAGGCGCTGAAGGAGACGTTTCTGCAAATGGGAACTGGTGACCAATGTGATTTGGTGATTTTTTGGGCTGATTGGCTTTTTGGCCACGAAAAGCCACTTCAAACACCGCCAATTCCTGCATTCCTTTGGCACCCATTGGCCAATGCAGGCTGAGGCCACACCTGTCCGCTTGTGCGGCGTGCCTTCAGAGTCTGGGCCCCCGCCGAATGAACTGAATGGACCTTTTTGGGATACTTCTGGATGGAAACCTTTGCGCCCACGTTGGTTGGGTTTAGGATATTCCTGCAAGACGAAACATGCCCCCGTGGATTGGTTGGAAGGGGCTCCAAAAATGGAAACCGATGGCACAAGCCAAATGGCAGGTTTTCATGTCCAATGCTTTGATGTCCACCAAAGGGTCCAACCAATGAAATTCCAGCCACCTGTGAGACAAAGTGATGAGAGGGAGCTCACGTAGCTCCTTTCCGACCACTGGGATAGTTTGAAAAACGAAATGACGCCACCATCCGGACTTAGCCTTGACGCCCTTCCATGGCGAGATCGCCCGACAAACGAAAAACCATGTAGCTCGCTACCCCGGGATGGTCCGAATGCCCAAAAACAGAGCTTGGTTCGAAAGGGAGCCCCCAAGCCGGAGTCTGGAGTCTGGAGGAGAGCCTGGAGCACTCGAAGGTGCTGGAGGTGGTGCAGCGCTACGCCATCCACCACCCCAGCGTGGCCTTCAGCTGTCGCAAGGCCAGCGGCGCAGCGGAATTGGCCACGGCGGGGTCCTCGCCCTCGGCGCGGGAGGCGGCGTGTTTCGTGGGTTTGCGTTTTGATCGGCGTCCTTTTCAGACTGGTCCAGATGGGAGCCAAAATGCAAGCCCGTGTTTTTTTTTTTTTTTTTGTGTGTGTGTGTGTGTGTTTTTTTTTGGGGGGGATGGGGGGTGGTGGGTGGGGGTAACCCCTCATCTTCCGTGCTTTTTGTGCAAAGAGGCTTGATCCCTCCATGCCCGTTCCCAAAGGCTCAGGCTTGGCCTGAAAAGAGCTTCAGATGCGCCGCTGAACCTGAGGTGATCGGGACCATTTGGGGGCAGGGCCTGGCCAAGGAGCTGTTCCCCTTCGAGGCGCGGTGACCAGAGGGGAGGGCCCAGAGGAGCAGGTGCCCTTGTTCCAAATGTGCGGACCAGACCAAAGATCAAACGATTGGGGGGGGGGGGGTCGGAGTGGGAGGTGTTTTTTTTTTGTTTCTCTCCCAGGTGAAGTCGGAGGAGCCCAGGTTCTCTTGCCGGGGCTTTGCGTCTGGGCCAAACTACTCCTCGCGGTCCTCCACGCTGATCCTCTTCATCAACAACCGCCTGGTGGAGTGTGCCCCGCTGAAGCGGGCGGTGGAGGCGGTGTACCAGCCGGTGCTGCCCCGGCACCAGCATCCCTGGGTGTATCTGGCCCTGGATGTGGACCCCCAGTGCATCGACGTGAACGTGCACCCCACCAAGATGGAGGTCCAGTTCTTGCACGAGGAGACCATCTCCCTGCGCCTGCAGGAGGCCTTGGCCGGCCAGCTCCGCTCGCTGGGCACTTCCCGGAACTTCGCCGCCGCCCTGCCGTCGCTGATCGACACCAAGGGCCGTGCGAGCTCCACCCCGGCCTTTGCCACGCCACCGGCCTCGGTGCCCGCCGCGCCCTCGGCGCAGTTGGTGCCCGCTGCGCCTCCCGCTACACCGGCTGCGCCGACGGCTGCGCCGACGGCGACGGCGTCGGCACCGCCGCCCAAGAGGGTGCGCACGGACCACCGGCAGCTGTCGCTGCAATCGATGCTGTCGCAGGCGCCTTCACAGCCTTTGGCATCTCAGGTGCCCGCATTCGGGGCAACGCAGTCACCGCCAACACAGGCAGCTCCGGCTTCGGCTTCTCAGGTTGTGCAGATGTCGGAGACGGAGAGGGAGGCACGCATGGCCGCGTATCAGGAAGCTCAGGAGCTCACTTCGGTGGAAGAGCTGCGGAAAGCTGTGGAGGCCGATTGCGACGAGCAGTTGTCCAAGCTGCTGAATCAGTCGGTCTTTGTGGGGCCGGTGAACCACGAACTGGTGCTTCTCCAGTGCGGAGCGTCTTTGTGCTTGGCCAACATGGCCATTCTGGCCCGAGAGTACGCGTATCAGCGACTCCTCAGGCACGGTCTGCAGAAGGTTTGTCTTTCTTGAAGCAGCGCCTCGCCGGCAGCTTCCAAAGTTTCAGAAGTTCTTGGACAACCGGCCTTGTTCACCTCAAGCTTGATCATCGCGATGGATGCAATCAGAACTGACCCCTGGAAGAACCCATCAAGAGCAGAGACTCATTTAAACTCAGTCAAACGCCTTTAAGACCTTTAGACAATGACAGTTGGACCTCCCCGAAAATGCGTGGTTTCCTTTTTAAGCACCTCAGCAAAAAAGAGAGACTCAGTTTCCTCCCAAAACACCAAACCCTCCGAATGAGCTTGGTTTCCCGGTAAAACAACCCCAAAACGGCTACAAAATCTCAACCCCCAAATGCGAGCATTGGATTCGCCAGGCTCATCGGGGGCATGGGCTCCATCCAGCTGTCCGAGGGTCTGCCGCTGAAAGATCTGCTGCGCATGGGCCTAGAGGACTCGGACGGAGTCGAAGAGCTTCTTCTCGGGAGCCCTCAGGGGTTCCATGGCTGTGGGTCAAAGCCAAGTACCCCCCGTGAACATCCCAATCCCCACGACTAAAATAGATTAAAATGGGTGGTGCACCTACCCCAAAATGATACCATTGGTGTTGACCCACGGCCGTATGGGTGTGTTTTCGAAGGTAGCCCTGGGAAAGACACTGGAGGATGGGTTTTCCTGGTGGTTTCTGGAGACCCGGCCCAATGTCTAATTTCTGGTGTGTTTCTGAAGGCGGCACTCATGTTCGGGGGTCCCCATATCTTGCTCGGGCCGGCATGATTTTCTTTGTCCAGTGATTTTCAGAGGCACAGAGTAGGAACCCTCGAGGTATGGCAAAGAAGGCGACCCTGGAGGATTGTCTCCTCGTGTTTTTCCAGAGATCCTGCCGCAATGTTCAATGATTTTGTGAAATGGATCCGAATGAAGCGGAAACCCCTCCAATGTAGATGGTCCTCAAAATGGCTCGCTTGTTCGATGGGACACTACATGGGACTCTGTCAACAGTACTTCACCCTACAAGTGCCGGTGCTGGTGTCCCTTTGGCTTCTTTGAAAGAACCAACTTTCCCGAAGGAGCACCCCAGAACCGTTGTCCCTCACTAATGAACGACCAATTCTAGCCATGGGACAACTTTCAAATTCCGTTGTAACTTTACGCCACGCGGGCGTTCAGGAAGCCTTCAATATCAAGTCTGCACTTCCCTCCATAGAGATGGCAGGCAGGTCCCCTTGAGTCACGATGGGTCCCCTTGAGTCACGATGGTTATTGAGCTTGGCTTCCGATGGCATCTTTCCAGATACGTCCTGATGGCCAGGCCACATTCATCACCCGGGTTTTTTTCTGTGACTTCGCGTATCCGGGCGGCCTCTCCGGGCAGCGCCCAGGGATCGATTCAGCTTGAAAGAGGAATCCAGGGGCCCCAAGCCACCTCAGCGTGAAGCCATCCGAACCGAGCCGCAGTTTTTCAAAGGTCTCCAGAAATGTCCCAGTCCAATCTTAGGCACCTTGGTTTGGTTCTGACCTAGGAAACAAAAGGGGAACTCCTTCTCCAGAGTCATGGATCAGCTTCCCTCCAAGTGGTTTGGAGTGGGTGGTTTGGGGTTTTCGACCCCCCGGTCCCGTTGACGCCACGTGCCCCGGTCCCTTTTTTGGTGGAGGACCCCGAGGCAGCGGCGGCTCTAAGTGACAAGCCCTGCGCGCAGCTGCTGGAGCGCTTCGAGGCGCTGCTGCTGGAGAAGGCGGAGCTCTTGAAGGAGTACTTCATGCTGGAGATCCAGGTGACTGAGCGACATGCGGGTTGAAAGATTTGTTTTCTTTTTTTGTTTGCGGGTTGTTGAGTCAGATTGAGGGAGGTTGAATGCGTGAAATGCGTTGGTGGCTTGTTTTCTTTTTTGTTGGTTTCCGGGCGACCTGCGGGTTGAAAGGGCTGAAATGCGTTGGTGGTGGTTTGTGGTTCGTGTGTTTTTGTTTGTGGGTTGAGGGTAAACCGAGTGACAGGAAGCGGAGGACGGGCCGCGAGTGAAGTCGGTGCCCAATGGCCTGGGCCTGAGCTCCGACAGCGGCTGCTGCTTCGATGGCCTGCCGCTGTTCCTGGTGCGGCTCTGCAGCGAGGTGAACTGGCAGGAGGAGAAGGCCCCCCCCCCCAATCGGGCGATGGGCCTGAGGATTGGCCAAATGAACACGGAGCTTTCGACGGGTCAAAGTTGGAGATTCCTCTAAGGACGTGTTGGGTTCCTCTAAAATCTGCGGAGATACTTTTCTACCATCGTTCTTTCCAACTGGATCCGTTTTCCCTGGGTTTCCGGAGGTTTTCTAGAAAGAAGGATCCCTGGAAAGAATGGGGAAGGTATTCAGACTAAGCGGGTGGCTGCATGGTTCGGACATATGTTTTGGCTTGATCCTCCAGTTTTAAAGCCTGTGTTGCAGTCATGTACTGGATTTGGTTGAATGTCTTGGTTTGAGAATGTTTCAGATGAGATGACCTTTGATGGGCATATATGGGCAGAATCGCCTCAGCCCTGAGACGCGCCTTTCAACTCTCTGGCCTCCACATACAAAATGTAAGGGAGTTGCTTGAGCTTACAACGCCCAAGACACACGCCATGTAAACGTTAGCACCCAAAACCGTACCAATCCCAAGCTCTCTCTCCCTCCCTGTTAGGGTGTGTGGCACTCTGTGCTTCACATGTTGGCCCCCTAAGGATATGCCGTCTTGCACTCTAGCTTTGTGTTGGCCCTTTCATGATGCTGATGTCATCCGAAGTCTGAAAGGATCGGAATGGCTCCAATAGCTAGCAGCTAGTGCCTCCGAGATGGTCGACCTGGAAAAGGAATCAGCTCGTGGCTCGGGCGAATCTGGCCCAGAATGCAACAGAAATAGAAATGTAGAACGACCATCGTCGAAGGCTTTCATCCAAGCCAAAAAAGGAGGGAATCAGACAGCACGGCTCATGGCAGGCTTGCCTGGACGGCATCTGCCGTGTGTCCGCGGACTTCAGCGCAGACCTGCTGCTGCCCAGCGAGGAGCAGGCGGAAGCGGCGCAGCTGAGGAAGGCCAACACCGAGGCGCTGCGCCTCGGAAAAAGCTGGCAGCTGCCACTTGCCGGGGCTCACTATACTACAAGCTACGTGTGACGCAAGTGCAGTTGAAGAAATAATGCATATGCACATGTGGCTCATTTGCTAGTTGTTTGTTCTGGTTCATTGCTTGGTTGCTTGCTTGCTTGCTTGCTTGCTTGCTTGCTTGCTTGCTTGCTTGCTTGCTTGCTTGCTTGCTTGTCTGTCCGTCCGTCTGTTTGTTTGTCTGTCTTGTTGACCACGAGTGCGGTTTTATGGCCCAATTATATACTTGCGTGTTCATGTATGTGTGTGTGAGTATATGTGTGTGTGTGTGTTGAAAGGGTTGGTTGGGATTTGCCTTTGCACTCTGCACTGTGTCAAACTTAAGGGGCCCTCCCAAACTCGCTCCGGCGTCTGTGTTGGGGGGGGGGGCGCGGGGTGGGTGTGATTTTGCCGTTTTTCCCAGCCTGCTCATGCATGCTCTGAGGCTTCTGTGTCATACATGGTTCAGTTGGCCCTTCAGATAGGACACCAAGCTTAAAAAACGTACAGCTCATCCCATGGGCAAACAAAAAACCCGCCGCGCTTCCACTGCTTCGAGGCCCGGGCGTCGTCTTTCGCGCGCAGCGTTGGGCGCCGAGGAACGCGGCGGTGCAGCGCGGGGAGTTCGAGGACGTGGTGGCTGCGGCCAAGCGGCCCAGGACCTGCCCGCTGCAAGGGCTCCGGTGGCTGCACGAGGTGACGCGCAAGGCGGGGGCCGCTGGGGCTGGCAGGTCTCTCTAAGATGGCAGGGCCCTTCTTTTGGGGTGTTCGAAGGTGGGGCAGGGGAAAGCTTTGGAAGGTCGTGCTGGTGCCAGTTTGTCAAAAATATCGGCATTCACTGTGAGTGTGTGTTCTTTCTAAGCCGGCCCGCAGGGCCTCTGGTTTTGGCAGCCACAGGGGTATACCCATGATTCAAGAGGCGCATTGCCATGTTTTCGTTTTGTTGGGGGGGCTGGTTCACAAGAACTCTAGCATGCCCATGTAACCATGTCAAATACGCTGTCGCCAGGACTGCGACAATGACAATTGCATTCCTTTGAAGGACTCATTCTCCTGAAGGGCTTCCCTTTCCCCAGGAAGGCTTGTGGCTCAACGGACGCGGCAAGTGAACAACTCCAGGAGGGCTCTAGCTGGCCCCGGGACTTCGCCAAGAACGGGACTCTGCTGGACCTGGTGTCGCTGGATCAGCTGTACAAGATCTTCGAGCGCTGCTGAGTGGAGCTTCCGGCAGATGGAAAATCGTAGGCGGAGAGCGAGCTCCTGTCAACTGGAAAATCGGTGGCGGAAAGCGAGACTTCTGTTGGTGGCAGGATAGGCGTCCTCCTTGGTTTCGGCGGTGAAATCTGATTGGCGTTCAGGTCTGACAGGAGCTCCTTCCAATGAGGAGAGCCAGCTGGATTGTGCTTGGGGGTTATTGCCAATCAGCTGGGCAGCGTCAATGGGGTGAAGACGGCTGCAGAGGGGCATGGGGCCAAAGCGCCTGCGTTTGAGAGCTCAAATAGCATCAACAAGCTGCAGTTGGATCCTGGTGTGCTCTGATTGATTTGGCTACAAAGTATCCAAGACACAAAGTACACAGTTGAGGCACAATCAAACCTGGATAGATGAGGGTTAGTTGGGGACGGTCCCAGCCGCAAATGGGCGCAGGCGCTCTTTTGGTTAGACACCTTCAGGTTTTGATTATGACTCAGCTACCAGCTTATAAACCACCAGAGGTCACACTTTGCACATCCAGACAGAACCTTTGCACACCGCTTCGCATGGATAAATTGCATATTATTGTGTGGAGTTTTTGGAGCTTTGCGCACACCCCGGTGGGTGTTTCCTGAGTTAAATTTCAATCGTGGATGGTTTCTTTGTTGATTTCTCAAAACACGGGTACGTGGATTCACTTCATGTTGCATGTAAGCCAACCGCACGCGAGTGGACTACACGATTTTGTTGCTTCGTTGCAGAACCTCGCCAGCCGCTCGATGTGTCGGGCTTTGCCCGACGTTCCGCCTGAGTCCTGGTCCCCATGTTCCCGCACTACGCCTCCGGCACTACGGGCAGCTGTCTGGCCGGCGCGTACCGCACCGCCGCGGAGCTGTGCGCCGTCGAGTTGAGTCGCAGCCCATGGAAACCAACTGGATGTATGGCAAAACCAAGAAAAGAGATTGAAGAGGGTTGCTCAGGTTTCTCTTTCTTTTCCAAGAGCATGCTTCATCCAAATCGAGGTGTGTGTGTGTGCGTGCGTGTGTGTGCGTGTCTGTGTGTGAGAACGGGTGCTTGTCAGGTACTGCACTCCCTTCCTTTCCGTTTTGCCGCCCTTCTACGGCCTGGTGCTTGGCTGGAAAATATGTCCCGAGTGTTGCAACGTGAAGCCCATCGAAGGCGATGCACTGTTTGCCGAACAAGATGTTGGCCAGCCGAGAAGTTGTGGCGAAATCAGCAGCTCATGTACAAGCACGCCCTGCCCAAAAAAGAACTCCCAAGATATGGGTGTGGGTCAAAATTATGTACACAAAATGGAACCCTGGTAATGGAAACAACGACTAGAACCTGCGGTCCCCTGGTGGCTTAATTTTGACCCACACCCATATTCGAGGCAAGGGCATGGGCATGGGCCGAAGTCCTCGTTGGGCCACCTGACTCCAAAGCCCTTTGATTGTCACAGACCTGACAAAGGGAACTACCATCACGACTCAATCCCATGTTTGTAACATCTCAGGGCTCGTGAATGGTTGGCCTCGGTCCGAACTCGCGGGACGATTGAGTCGCAACCATAGAACTTAGCAAAGAATCATACAAGCACTCATGAGGAGTGTCTTTTTGTGGGCACTCCCTTTTTGGGTTCACACATCTCTGGTTTGGGGTCGGCCCGAACCTCTCAACCTCTCCATCTGGACGGAGGCCACCGGCTCTATGTGTCTGCCATGGAGAAGCGGATCCTGGCGTCCATCGGGGAGAAGGCCGGAGATCGCCCGAGTCCGAGTCTCCCCTCGTCAAAACCGTTTTGGGATCCCATTTTGGTTGGTAGGTGAATTCACCACCCGTTTTACAACCTATTTTGGTGGTTGGATTGGGATGTTCACTGGGGTTACGATTTGGCTTTTGACCCATGGCCAGGTCAAACCGGCCGCAAGCGGGGCGCGGGGGGCGGGGAAGTAGTGGGGACGTCGGATGGCCAGGGCAAGAATGTGGATCACACGCTCTTCAGCTTCCATGGGGTGCCTGAGGCGCGGTTCCGGAAGTTGCATCTGAGGATGGTGAGCCACTGAGCCACAATCTCTGGAGGTGTTCAGGTCAATGGGATGGCTAAGGAATTTGTACAAGAGCAGGATGGTTTCTCCATAGCTACCAACTACAGGAGCACGGTGCTGCTTCGACGGAGAATGTCATTTCAGGATTCAGTTGAGGGGATCGCCCTGCTGTGTTCTTTGCAGTGGCAGGGTCTTTGTACACAAGACACTATGCCGCGCCTCTTCCGGTTGCTTTTCGACCCTCAAGCTTGCCCGCGACCGTTGCAGTGCCTTGTTCTGTTGCCTTAGTCTTACCGACGCACGATGGCCCTCCCTATGAAGTCTGCCATGAAGTCCGTGATGAAGTCGGCTAAGTCCATGAAGAAGGCCACCAAACCGTCCATGAAGGCCAAGGTCATGAAGAAGAAGGCGGTGAGCAAGATTGCGAAGGGCAAGTTTGCCAAGGCGGCAGTGTTCAAGGGCGCCAAGGAGAAGACGGCCACCCAGCTGACCAAGACTGACCTCATGAAGCTTGTCAGCTGTAGCCTTTCGTGCTTTTTTTTTGGCGGCGGATCCATTATGGAGTCATGTTTGTATCACATTTGTCATTTTGCCACCGACCAGCTTCACATGTGTTTGCAATGGTTGTGAGTTCAGACAACTGATGCGCCAGGAAGAACAAGAGAGGCAAAGTGGTCTCGAAGAAGGCGAATGCGGCGGGCAAGAAGGCCTACAACAACATCTCTGCCTGGACCACCGCCGTGGTGAAGGCCAGGAAGGAGCTTGGCATCAAGGGCTTCTGCGCCGTGAACGGCAAGACGGCTCAGGGCAAGGCCCTCTATGCCAAAGCCAAGGCCATCTTTGCTGCATGAGAAGAAATGGAGGCAGTGCCAACTAGGAAGAGTCAGAGAAGCATGGCGGTTTGCTTGCGTGGTCATTCACGGAGTGGACCTGCTGATGCTCGCTTGACGCTTGACGCTGCTGCTTGACACAGCCGGGCCCGGCGTGTATAGCTGATTTTGCTGGCCCGGAACCTCGGACCTAGGGGGCAGTGCGACTGTACACATTTGGACATTGCCCGCTTCACCTAGTCCAAGATCCGAAAACAAGAGTTTGGTTTGCAAAGGTTTGCAGAGGATGCCCGGGATGCTTGCAGACGGACTAGCTTAATGATTGCAAACTGCAGCATGTTTCCGTTACCCCGAGTCTCAGCTGGTATCTAGGGGTCGTTGGGCTGTGGTTGGTTGATGGTTGGGCTTCAGTGCAGAAAGTACAGAGGGTAGAGTGCCCATGCGCGATTGCCGGTTGCTTTTCGAACCTCAAGCTTGCCCGCAACCGTTGCAGTGCCTTGTTCTGTTGCCTTAGTCTTACCGACGCACGATGGCCCTCCCTATGAAGTCTGCCATGAAGTCCGTGATGAAGTCGGCTAAGTCCATGAAGAAGGCCACCAAACCGTCCATGAAGGCCAAGGTCATGAAGAAGAAGGCGGTGAGCAAGATTGCGAAGGGCAAGTTTGCCAAGGCGGCAGTGTTCAAGGGCGCCAAGGAGAAGACGGCCACCCAGCTGACCAAGACTGACCTCATGAAGCTTGTCAGCGGTAGCTTTTCGCACTTTCTTTTTGGCGGCGGATCCATTATGGAGTCATATCCGTATCACATTTGTCATTTTGCCACCGACCAGCTTCACATGTGTTTGCAATGGTTGTGAGTTCAGACAACTGATGCGCCAGGAAGAACAAGAGAGGCAAAGTGGTCTCGAAGAAGGCGAATGCGGCGGGCAAGAAGGCCTACAACAACATCTCTGCCTGGACCACCGCCGTGGTGAAGGCCAGGAAGGAGCTTGGCATCAAGGGCTTCTGCGCCGTGAACGGCAAGACGGCTCAGGGCAAGGCCCTCTATGCCAAAGCCAAGGCCATCTTTGCTGCATGAGAAGAGATGGAGGCAGTGCCAACTGGGAAGAGTCAGAGAAGCATGGCGGTTTGCTTGCGTGGTCATTCACGGAGTGGACCTGCTGATGCTCGCTTGACGCTTGACGCTGCTGCTTGACACAGCCGGGCCCGGCGTGTATAGCTGATTTTGCTGGCCCGGAACCTCGGACCTAGGGGGCAGTGCGACTGTACACATTTGGACATTGCCCGCTTCACCTAGTCCAAGATCCGAAAACAAGAGTTTGGTTTGCAAAGGTTTGCAGAGGATGCCCGGGATGCTTGCAGACGGACTAGCTTAATGATTGCAAACTGCAGCATGTTTCCGTTACCCCGAGTCTCAGCTGGTATCTAGGGGTCGTTGGGCTGTGGTTGGTTGATGGTTGGGCTTCAGTGCAGAAAGTACAGAGGGTAGAGGGCCCATGCGCGATTGCCGGTTGCTTTCGGTTTCGAAGCTTGCCCGCGGCCGTTGCAGTACCTTGTTCTGTTGCCTTAGTCTTACCGACGCACGATGGCCCTCCTATGAAGTCTGCCATGAAGTCCGTGATGAAGTCGGCTAAGTCATGAAGAGGCCACCAAACCATCCATGAAGGCCAAGGTCATGAAGAAGAAGGCGGTGAGCAAGATTGCGAAGGGCAAGTTTGCCAAGGCGGCAGTGTTCAAGGGCGCCAAGGAGAAGACTGCCACCCAGCTGACCAAGACTGACCTCATGAAGCTTGTCAGCGGTAGCATTTCGTGCTTTTTTTTTGGCGGCGGATCCATTATGGAGTCATATCCGTGTCACATTTGTCATGTTGCCACCGACGAGCTTCACATGTGTTTGCAATGGTTGTGAGTTCAGACAACTGATGCGCCAGGAAGAACAAGAGAGGCAAAGTGGTCTCGAAGAAGGCGAATGCGGCGGGCAAGAAGGCCTACAACAACATCTCTGCCTGGACCACCGCCGTGGTGAAGGCCAGGAAGGAGCTTGGCATCAAGGGCTTCTGCGCCGTGAACGGCAAGACGGCTCAGGGCAAGGCCCTCTATGCCAAAGCCAAGGCCATCTGTGCTGCATGAGAAGAGATGGAGGCAGTGCCAACTGGGAAGAGTCAGAGAAGCATGGCGGTTTGCTTGCGTGGTCATTCACGGAGTGGACCTGCTGATGCTCGCTTGACGCTTGACGCTGCTGCTTGACACAGCCGGGCCCGGCGTGTATAGCTGATTTTGCTGGCCCGGAACCTCGGACCTAGGGGGCAGTGCGACTGTACACATTTGGACATTGCCCGCTTCACCTAGTCCAAGATCCGAAAACAAGAGTTTGGTTTGCAAAGGTTTGCAGAGGATGCCCGGGATGCTTGCAAAGCGGACAGCTTAGCGATTGCAAACTGCAGCATGTTTCCGTTGCCCCGAGTCTCAGCTGGTATCTAGGGGGTGGTTGGGCTGTGGTTGGTTGATGGTTGGGCTTCAGTGCAGAAAGTACAGAGGGTAGAGTGCCCATGCGCGATTGCCGGTTGCTTTTCGAACCTCAAGCTTGCCGCAACGAATTGCAGTGCCTTGTTCTGTTGCCTTAGTCTTGCAAACGCACGATGGCCCTCCCTACTGAGTCTGCCATGAAGTCCGTGATGAAATCGGCTAAGTCCATGAAGAAGGCCACCAAACCGTCCATGAAGGCCAAGGTCATGAAGAAGAAGGTGGTGAGCAAGATTGCGAAGGGCAAGTTTGCCAAGGCGGCAGTGTTCAAGGGCGCCAAGGAGAAGACTGCCACCCAGCTGACCAAGACTGACCTCATGAAGCTTGTCAGCGGTAGCTTTTCGCACTTTCTTTTTGGCGGCGGATCCATTATGGAGTCATATCCGTATCACATTTGTCATTTTGCCACCGACCAGCTTCACATGTGTTTGCAATGGTTGTGAGTTCAGACAACTGATGCGCCAGGAAGAACAAGAGAGGCAAAGTGGTCTCGAAGAAGGCGAATGCGGCGGGCAAGAAGGCCTACAACAACATCTCTGCCTGGACCACCGCCGTGGTGAAGGCCAGGAAGGAGCTTGGCATCAAGGGCTTCTGCGCCGTGAACGGCAAGACGGCTCAGGGCAAGGCCCTCTATGCCAAAGCCAAGGCCATCTTTGCTGCATGAGAAGAGATGGAGGCAGTGCCAACTGGGAAGAGTCAGAGAAGCATGGCGGTTTGCTTGCGTGGTCATTCACGGAGTGGACCTGCTGATGCTCGCTTGACGCTTGACGCTGCTGCTTGACACAGCCGGGCCCGGCGTGTATAGCTGATTTTGCTGTTGGAACCTCAGTTCCTAGGGCAGTGCGAGCTGTACATTGGACATTGCCCACTTGCTAGTCCAAAGATCCGAAAACAGAGTTTGGTTTGCAAAGGTTTGCAGAGGATGCCCGGGATGCTTGCAGACGGACTGGCTTAATGATTGCAAACTGCAGTTGGCCGAGCTCACCAAGTGAAAGACATATCCATGGTCGGCAAATTGGGCTAACTGGTTGGTTTCTTCTTGGGCTTCAGTGCAGAGAGTACAGAGGTAGGGCCCATGCGCGATTGCGGTTGCTTTTGTGAATCTCAAGCTTGCCGCGACCGTTGCAGTGCCTTGTTCTGTTGCCTTAGTCTTACCGACGCACGATGGCCCTCCCTATGAAGTCTGCCATGAAGTCCGTGATGAAGTCGGCTAAGTCCATGAAGAGGGCCGCCAAACCGTCCATGAAGGCCAAGGTCATGAAGAAGAAGGCGGTGAGCAAGATTGCGAAGGGCAAGTTTGCCAAGGCGGCAGTGTTCAAGGGCGCCAAGGAGAAGACGGCCACCCAGCTGACCAAGACTGACCTCATGAAGCTTGTCAGCGGTAGCCTTTCGTGTTTTTTTTTTTTGGCGGCGGATCCATTATGGAGTCATATTTGTATCACATTTGTCATTTTGCTTCACATGTGTTTGCAATGGTTGTGAGTTCAGACAACTGATGCGCCAAGGCAGAACAAGAGAGGCAAAGTGGTCTCGAAGAAGGCGAATGCGGCGGGCAAGAAGGCCTACAACAACATCTCTGCCTGGACCACCGCCGTGGTGAAGGCCAGGAAGGAGCTTGGCATCA